CTCCCTGGTGGCCTAGGGGTTAAGTCTCAGCACTATCAAGCTATTGCCAGCCACTGTGGCATTATTTCAATCCCTGGGCAGGGAGCTGACCCACATGGCACAGCAGACCTCTCCTGTCTCCCCACTACTTTCCTCAGCAGTATATGTCAATAGATCTGCCTGTCTGCTCCCCACTCTATCTCTGGTGAATCCTCCCACCCCCGCACCTCTGGCCAGTTCTTCTACATATAAATACTACGTATAAATAAATAAATCTTTAAAAAAGAGAAGATATACAGATGGCCAATAGGGACATGAAAAAATGCTCAATATCACTGATCATCAAGGAAATGCAAGTCAAAACCACAATGAGAGACTTATCATTTCACACCTGTGAGAGTGACCCATCTCAAAAAGACCAGAAACGAAAGGACAGGTCAACTGACTGAAATACACTGCTGAGGGGAGCAGTGGACTAGACAGGAGAGGTCTGCTGCGCCATGTGGGTCACTTCCCTGGCCAGGGATGGAACTCGTGCCGCAGTGGCTGGTGATAGCTTGATAGTGTTGAGACTTAACCTCTGCACCCCCAGGGAAACCTAAAATACTACTGTTTGATCAGGGCAGGCTAACTTCTGCAGCAAACCATCTCAAAATCTCATTGACTAAACACAGTAAAAGTTTATTTCTTTGCCTGCCTAAAATTCCAAGACATGTTTGACAGAATCAGCTGAAGACCTTCACACGGCGCCTCGCTCCGTCCTCCTTGGGGAGCCATCTTCCTCCTCCAGGTTTTCAAACTCCTCTCCACTGAATTGATGAACCAGGCCTGGTGGTGATCTACCCACTTTCCATTGGCCAAGGCCAATCATGTGAGCTCTCATGACTGGCAGGCTGGCCAGAAAGTATAGTGTTAGTCTGTGCCCAGGAATCCTTGGACTTGATGAGCACTTAACCTTTCCTTCTACAATCATTACATTGCAACATAGGAAATTACAGATGTTTGGCCAGTTTTAACTTATATACGTGGTCGTTTCATGTATTTGAACCTAATAGTTTGTCTCTTATCCAAAACAGTCACGACCAGATATTGAAAGAAAAGAACTGTTGAACTAGGGACGGGAAAGCTAGTGAGTGGGCGTGGAATTAGAGTAAAGGCCAGGTAGAAGGAGAAGATGCTGAGAAAGTAATTGGCATCGTTTGCTCACGTTGCAGTGTCATGCGAGAACTGTGTAGACACTGGAAGTGAAAGCTTTTTAAGCAATTTTGGAAAGATTTTATAAATAGGGCGCCCTGCTTTTATTGTTAGTATCGTGTTTGCCTGTGCTGAATTCCTTTCTTGCCCTCAATAATGTTTCAACTTAAATAGTTTAATAATTCATTTTCTTTTTTTGTCCTTATTTTTTTAAAATAGCTGCATATGTGCATTAAAAAAAAAAAAAACCTGGCAAGGGTAGAATGCAAAATTGGATTCTTGGTGTAATAAATCAATTTCCTCTGGCATCTCCCAATCAGCAAGTAATTATTAGCAATTCTATCCACTAGTAACCACCCCCCCCGTAACTGTTTTCTGTTTTCATGACCAGATGTACAATTTGACGGTGAAACCAGAAAAATCCCATTTGTGGCTGTCCCTTTGAAGCTATCTCTCAAAACTGGGTGACTGCATAGTCAGCACACCCGTTAACTGAAGGCATTTGCTCATTTATGAATTTGCATGGTTCTGGGGTGGTTTTTCCTACAGTGTTCTTGCCAGCTGCTCGGTTCTCTTTAGGAAATACCCACAAAATATGTCACTGCATCCTCTGGAGGCTGAGCTGGTCTTTTCTGGTTTGTGTCACTGCCTGAATATCAGAATCCATTTTATAGTTCTTGGTCATCTGTTGATTCTGAAGCAACCATTGTTTCCATCTTTTAAACACACGAGCATAGGACTAGATTGAATGATAGATCTTTCTTATCTCCCAACAGAGCTGTAATAAGATGCATTTGCGACGGGGGAAGGAATTCCTTAGAGTGGTTAAGAAATCTTCCTGTATTATGTTTTTGATGGCCCAAATGTTGGTCATTAACATTTTGGAGTTTTATGAGTGACACTTTGTACATTGTCAAAAGTGATGACGGGAGAAATTAATACACCTCAGAGTTCTTGGTTTCACCTTTTCACCTAAAGCCAAACATATGAAAGCAATAAAGCTGGAGAAAGGATTTCTCGGGAGAGTTGTGGTCATGTGCAAACAGTATATGAATTTCATCTTCTGGTAACTTTGTCTGCTTGCTTGCCCATCTTCATCACTGGACTAGAAGTTCTTTGTGGACAGGGGCTGTTCTCATACTTCTAGTTTCAGTGCCTCGTCCAGTGCCTGATATGTTTAATTACCTAATATATTCGGAATGAACAAATGTCTAGATGGATGGATGAATACTTGAGTGAATTGTGTTCCCCTCTGACTTCTACTACAAAGTCTTTCTTGGCCCTAGTTTCTTCATGTTTAAGATGATAGGTCGGGGCAGCTCTCCTGCCCGCCTCTGCCTATGCAGGTATTTCTTTACACAATCCTTTTCCCCTTTGCAAAACAGCAGTGGCAGCTCTTCTGGTGTGCTTGTGTCTGTGCAAGCATCTTCTTCTCCTTCCCATTTTTATATAATAAACCTGCCCTTTTGGATATGAAAAAAAAACTAATAAGATGACAGGTTGGAAATGTGATATCTAAGGTCACTTTCATTCGGATGAAATTCTATGATAATCTCCCCCTTATAGGGAAAATTGATTCCTATGTATGTGAACAAGTAAAGTCCCGTGAGAACTGCAGCCACAAGAATGTGCCCTGCAGATGCCCAGCAGCCAGGAGTGTTATTGGAGCAAGGCCACCCCCCCTTCCCAGGCTGCTCCTGCCACACCTTCTTCGAGGACAAGCATGGAAGGGATGCTAAGGCAAGACCTTTTGTGGGAAACAGAACGTTCCTCTGAGGGTCGACTCAATTTTTAAAAAGCTGTAAAAAAGATTCTTAAGGACATTGTTGTGTTTAGACTTACTTAGTTGACAAACTTTATGTTCAGTGGTCTGTGGTTTCTTGTTTGGGAATTGTTAGTTACATGCAAAGTGAGTCAAAATTGTGGTATCCTTGCAGAATTACCAGCAATATCCGGGTTAGCTGATGACTGATGGCTGCATTATTTCTCAGTCCAAACTCTTCTGAGGGCTTTGTAATTACACTCACCATGTCTCTGTTTACAATAGACCATAAACATAACAGAGCAAAGAGTAAATCTTTTTCATCACTCTCTGTATCTAAGGCTGCTTGGAATATGGTAAGACTGGATAAATGTTTATTAACTTTAAAGCAGTGATACCTAGCAGGACAATTTGCCTCCCCAGGGGAGATTGGCAAAGTCCACATACATTTTTGGTTTTCACAACTGGAAGGGCAGGTGTTCCTGGCATCTACAGGTAGAGGCCACAGATGCTGTTCAACATCCTCAATGTTCAGAACAGCCCCCCAACAATAAAGAATTATCTGGCCCAAGTTGTCAGTTCTGTAGAGTTGGAAAAACCCTGCTTTAGATGGTTGAGTGACTGCCTTCTAAAGCCCACACCGTGATTCCGTTGGAAGATGAAAAAGAAGTCCCGTTCAAGAAAAAGTAGATAATAAAGGCATCCTTGCCTTGAGTGCTCTTGGTTCGTGAAATGTGCCACACCCTGTCTTTGCAGCTCTTAACTCAGTAACCAAGCTAGTGGGAGAGGCATGCCTTGAAGGAAACTGCGAGGTGGTTTAACTTCCCGACCTTGACTAAGATATGATTAACCTGCAGAAAGTTCAGTCCTGCAGTGGAAAGTGCCAGGCCCACTGTGCCTTCCTTGTCTGCTGAAGAGCCCGGAAAACACTTTCCAGCATATTTAATGTGCGTGAGGACATAGCTCCAGTCCTCCACAAAGCGTCCAACTTCTTTGCTTCCAGAATCAGGTAGCAATCGTGTCCTGTGCTAGGCCAGGAAGGAGGTGAGCAGGCAGCCAGCTGCATCCATGGCCTGGCCTACCTGGGGACATTTGGTGACAGGGATGACTCTCGGAACTCCAGATTCAGACAGTCCACAAGTCAAGCCTGCTGATTTCCATGGCTCATGAGCTAAGGACGGTTTTTACTTTTTAAAATGGTTAAAGTTAAGTCAAAAGAAGAATCCTATTACATGCCACATGAAAAGTATATTAAATTCAAACTGCAGTGTCCATAAATAAAGTTTTATTGAACACAGCTGTACCCCCCTGTGGCCTGTTGCCCGCAGCTGCCTTGGACTGAGACCCGAAGGTCCCCTAAGCGTAAAATATTTACCATCTGGCCCTTTGTGGAAAAACGTTTGTCCATCCCTGCTCTAAGGTTAAAGAGTTTAGCAAATTGTGTTTCCAGAAGACAGAAGGAATGAGAATGCGCCCTGAGCTAGTACCTGCGACAGACACCCAGCTCTTGGGGGGATGTGACTCCACTCCACGGGCTGGCGTCTCCTCATCCCAGGGACCCCGCCAGCACTTCTTGTTCCTCACCTGTGGAGATTCCGGTTTGTTCAAGGGCGGCCAGACAGCCGATGGGTAAAAGCATGGCACTTTTGCCCAGGACACCCCACAGGGCCAGCGACCCCATCACCATGCTCCCCTGATGCGGCCACAGACCTTGATTGCCCCTAAGTGTGGACAGGGCAGATCTGATTAGCACTCGGAGAGATTCAGAGACCTAAATCCTTGGCCACCTTCACGTGCTCTGGTTTTATAGGTTATGTGACTCAATGCTTTTCACCCCGTGGAAAAGGAAATGGATGGTGCTGATGATTAGGGAAGTGGGGCGAGGGAGGGCGGCCAAGGCTGGCCACCTGAAATTCGGGCCTTCAAAATCTGGTCTGGCCCTGAGCGGCAGGTTTATCGAAGTTCCCCAGGGACTTTGTCATCACTCCTGTGCAGCTAGGAGCCAGAAGGGCCTCTGTTGCCCTTTCTGTTTTCCCAGTGCTAACATGTGGCTTTCGTCCCACAGTGCAAGGCATCGTGGCTCTTCGCTGTCCGCTTTCCAGCCTGGGGTGTGTCACTATGGGGCGAAGCTGGCCTGCTGCTATGGATGGAGACGGAGCAGCCGGGGCATCTGTGAAGGTAATTTTCTTTCTTTCTTTCTTTCTTTTTTGATTTGTTTATTTCTGCACACAAGAACTGGGGTGTAGGCCAGAGATGCGTGTGTGTGTGTGTGTGTGTGTGTGTGTGTGTGTGTGTGTGTGAGAGGATTCGCCACAGACAGAGTGGGGAGCAGAAGAGGCAGACTAACTGAATTACACTGCTGAGGGGAGCAGCAGGTGAGATAGGAGAGGTCTGCCACACCATGTGGGTCACCTCCCTGGCCAGGGATCGAACTCGTGTTGCAGTGGCTGGCGATGCTTGATAACGCTGTGTCTTTAACCCCTGAGCCACCAGGGAGGCCCAGTATAGTTTTGTTCTTTATTTGCCTTTCTACAACTGACCCTCAGGCTGCAGAGGAACAAATCCTGGCTCCTCCCTGTTGACTGTTGGGCCTGCAGTGCATTCCTACAGGGCACGAGTCTGGCCTCCCTGTGCCTGAATCCCTAGTAGGTGGCAAAGGCCTGACCCTCAGCCCCTTGTCTGGTAAATGGAGCAGACACACAACCTCGCGTCCCTCAAGCTTCAGGCGTCGGCATGGCTCCTGTCGGACGGTAAACTGTAAGGCACCAAAATATTAGCTATTTTTCAGGCCACTGGTGCTTGCTTCCTTCTTTGTGCTGCTGTGTCCCTGCCCCAACCTTCTTCCCAAGCTGGTCCAAGTCTATCTAGATAGACTGTCGGTGAGAGTGGAACGTGCTAATGTCCGAAACCCACAAAGCATCGGAAGACATTAAGCCATTGTTACCTGCGCGCTATTATGCAAACGCTCCCGCCGTCACAGTTTTCCTTGTGACAACGGCATGAAGATGCCAGAGACTGTTTGAAGATCGTCATGGTCCACCTAATTAAAGGAAGTTAGAACGTCCCCCAGTGTCTTTGTCAATTAAGCCAAAGGTGATTAAACACGAAGACTGGATGTACAGTGTTACAGCCAAGGGCATTGTCTTGAGAATCAGAATGATGGGGGTGACGTTGGGCAAGGTGGGCGAGCTCATTCAGGCGCCTGTTCCGCCTCCACACACCAAAGGGCAATGGCTACTCCCTGGGGTAAGAGAGTGAGCCCTAAGGGGTGTGTGCATCGCCTGCGCATGTAGGAAATGCCTCGCGACTTACCCTTGACAGGGAAGGACCAATATCTCACTGCATACTTGTGTCCATCAGTGCGCCGGGTGGGGGCGGGGGATGAAATGTGACTTCACTCTTTTTCTAACCACAACCTAAGGTGTTTTTATTTGACAGTCAGGTGGAAAAAGCAAAAAAACATGTGGGACATGTGATTTGGAATCTGTCTGCCATAAAACTTGACTGTCTGGTAAATCAATGAGGACGCGCTCGCTGCCTGCAAGAGCTATTCTGTAACCAGAGCAGAGCAGTCTGGTGGCGGAACACACGGCCATTCGCATCTCAGTGCTTTTGTGGATGACTTAATGCCAGATGCACAAAGCAACGGACAGCAAGAAGCTGAAAGAAGGTGCAGAGTGTTCAAGCAAAGTGCCCACCGAGGCCAGGTCGGCGAGCTCAGGAGATCGCCAGCACCACTGCCCCTCGCCCCAGGCCCGGGCAGGCATTCAAGTTAAAGCATGCAGTGACTTTTATACCTGAATCTGCATTGTGTTCCAACCACTTTTCATGGTCCTTCCTGATAGCAAAGTCATATGCTCCCCGAAGCAGCAAATAACAGGGTGCTTAGCCCCTTGATTGCTGGGCCTCTGGTTCTGAAGCCAGAGCGCCGGCTGTGTGGTAATGAGACGAGAAAGCCGTCGACCTGCTCCAGCCTGCAGAGTCAGACCCCAACCTGTGAGGTCCCGACTGCCCTGGCCTTCACCTCCTGCCCCTGCGTTCCTCGGCGCCCTGCCTGGAAGCCGGGGCTTTCCCACTCGTGGCCCCAGCTCTACCAAGTTTGCTCTTAGGACAGGGTCTGTTCAACTCGCTGTCATTAACCTTCAAACATTTGTCACTTAGTGAGCTGGGGCAAGTCTTGTCCGTGACTGAAACGCTGCAGGTGGAGGAGCGCGCTTGTCTTTATCTGCAGTGCACTGAAATCGCAGACCCTTTTAGACAGAAATGGAATTGCCCTGTGGTGTCCATTGGCTGCTCAAATCATCGACCCAGAATTCCTGCAAATTGAAAACATCTTTCTGGAGCTTTGACCTCACAGCACCATTTCTCCTCTGTTCTTTTTGGCATTGGTCCTAGGCTTTCCTATCTGGACCGTGTTGAAAATAACTTTCCAGGGAACAATCAGAAGTCTTTGGAGCTTTAAAAAAATAAAAGATTTATTTTCCTAATATCTACACTTAAAGCTGCATCCCCAAGTATATATCCATGTAACAAAATGGACATTGGAAATCAGCTTCTATTTCTTTTGTCTGCAGAAGTCCAAGAATTGTGCTGGGAAGTGTTTCCTTCCTCTTCTTACTTCTCATCTGTCCAGAGCCAGAAAGGGCTTCTCTCTGAAAAGTTTTACACCTACTGCTTTATTCACTATTTGCAACTATTGTAGACTCTAACACATTCATGAGATTATTAAATGTTGCAGGAGAAACAAAGAGGAATGTTTAAATCCCTGGTCTGAAAGCACTTAGAGTCAGGTAGTAGGCAGACGTCAAGGACAGAAAACCGAATGTACGTCTAGTTATTGAACACGATGGAGACAAGTTAGTTCTGCAGGGTGGTTAAAGTTGAAGGGCAGACCACAGGCAAGTGGGGACAGCTGTGAAGGCTTCTGGAAGGAGGGGCTATGCGAAAGGATGGAGAGGGTATCAGCCGCGGGAGCAGAGAGGAGCCTGGGAGTGCCCACAATGGGTGGGGAAAGGCAGGAGGTGTGTGCATGTCTAGTGCAGAGCAGAGTGGCTGCTCTGCTCCCGCCACGGCGTGGCCTGTGTCTAGGGAATGGAGTGAGCTAAGGCTGAAAAGAGCTGCTCTGGGGAGTATCTGACAGGGAGCAAGGGAACAGAGAAGCTAGACCGTGATGTCCTTTCCAGAGAAGTCTCGCTTCAGCCTGACCCCACAGGGTGACTCTGGGGTGTAAAATGCACCACGGTTTGTCCTGCCCAGAAACGGGGAGCAAGGCTGTAAAACCCCTGCCACAGTCAAGCACTGGTCATAGGCTTTAGTGGGTAAGTGGGGGGAGACTAGGGGCTCAAGGTAAACCCCAAGATATCTATGGGCAAAGTGGCTCCACTCCCTGGATAAATATCTGTTCCGTCAATGAATTGGGGGTAGGAACAGGGGTGGGTTGTTGTCACTGATTGGTTTGGGGGAGAGAAAAAATAGAGACGACTGAGATTCCTAGTCCAGGCAACTGGGTGATGAATGATGCCATTCCCAGAACCCTGGGCGTGGCGTTGTGGGAAGAGACTGGCTCCTCAGGAGCAGGCCCGGTGGGTAGTGGGCGCGCAGGCCTGGTGGTGGGTGTGCTGTGGGGATCCGTGCTCAGGGAAGTGAGCGCCACTAGAAACTGCCCAGCCGTTCCCTCATGGCTGCTTACTGGACTAAATCGAGACTGCCCAGGGCCTTTTTCCCTCCTTTCTCCCTCAATCCTTATTTTCTCTCTCTCACCTCCTCTTCTTTTGGGTTTTACCATTTCTCTTTTTTCTATCTGTGTCTTTTCTTCCTACCTCCTCCCTATGAGTTAGACTCAAACTCTCCATCATCTTTCTCTTTTCTGACCCTAACTCTAAACATTCTCTACCTATTGTGTCTCCTACCACTTCATTGGTCTAACAATTATTTATTGAGTGCCAGGTTGGTGCGTGTCCGGATACAGAAATGAATGAAATGGAAAAACAAATCGGACTTTCTCAGACCAGCATTGCCACCATTGTCACATCACCACCATCATCATTGTGTCGACATCATCATCTTCATCAAGCCTTTAGGTCCCAGCCTTAGGGCTGCAGGTTGTACCTCCCTGCCTCCAATCTGTGGGCTGTTCATTTTGTCTGATAAGGCACAGCATTAAAAAGATATATTGATCACTCAAAAGAAAACTAGTAGAGAAAATATGGAAGAGAAAAAAGAGACAAGCAACAGAAAGGGGAGGGACCTAGACACTCCCCAGGATGACTCTGGAGCCTCTCGGGCTCACACAGTGTAGTTCTTTTAAAAAATCTTTCGTGTTTACCTGCAAACTGGCTGATTGTGGGCTGGGAGGCCTTCTATTCCTTGAGCGCCGCTGGGGCGTGGCAGTGCTAAGCAAGGTCACAGTAAAGCTTGGACTCGTTGGGCTGGAGGCGTCGGGCTCACCACACTCTCCAGCATCTCCGTGGTGCAGACAGACCAGAGACAAGCAGACGCGCCTCTAGGTGTCCCCATGGGCCTCTCTGCCGCACGAGTCCCGAGTGTGGCGTGCCTGCCTCCACTGCGCACACCCCTCCTGTTCTTTTATTGTCAAAACATCTTTTCCTTCCACAGCTGCGTGTGAACCTGGATGCAAGTTCGGTGAGTGTGTGGGACCGAACAAATGTAGGTGCTTTCCAGGGTACACCGGGAAGACCTGCAGTCAAGGTCAGTACCAAGGAACGGGTGCTGATGTGAACCCACCACGGAGCTCTCTGGAGCGACAGCGAGAGTGAGGGTCGCAAGAATAACACTGTGCTCAGGGTAGTGTCGAGCTGAACCTGAATTTTCAAGTGAAAATGGTCTCAGAACTAGATTTTTCCAAACAGTCCCGTCTAGAAATTATAAAAGTCATTCTAATTTTTTAACAGATTTATTTATTCATGCATAGAAGAACTGGAGCACAGGCCAGAGGTGTGGCGGGTGAGAGGAGTCACCCGAGACAGAGTGGGGAGCAGAACAGGCAGACTGACCGAAATACACTGCTGAGGGGAGCAGCGGGCAACACAGGAGAGGTTTGCTGCGCCATGTGGGTAGCTCCCTGGCTTGGGATCGAACTTGTGCTGCGGTAGTTTCAGACAGCTTCATAGTGCGGCATCTTAACCTCTTGCACCACCAGGGAGGCCCTAATGTTTTTGTCAAGATGCCAGATTACAGGCTTTTTTGTTTTCAACAAATGATTTTTATAATGTTGTTTGAGCTACTGAAGTGATGCTTGTTTTTACTTAAAAAAAAAAAAAAAAAAACAACCCTGCAAAGGGATATAAATTAAAAAGCGACACCCCTTTTCTAACCATAGTTCCCATTTTGTCCTGGCTCCTCAAAGTCCTTTTCTACTAGAACAAAAACAGAAATGTTTCTCGTAGGCATCGTGGCCTGTCAGCGCATACGAAGCCAGCTCAGACTTTTAAGGCTGTACCTCATCCCTAGTGTGAACGCTTTTACTGTGCAGGTAAACAAGTCACACTCAGTTCAGCCCTCCAATTCTTCGCCATTACAGTATTGAGTTAGAGAAACCCAGGCCCGAAGAAATCTGCAATCGTTAAGAAAGTGTCCTCAGTCCTATCATGCAGTTGAACAAAGAGCAGCAAAGCAATCTCTGCTGCCCTTACGAAAGGCTACCAGCTTCTAGAAGAAGAGGAGAGTTCCAGGGAAGAGCGGGCAGGGAGCCACCTACTCTACCAGCCCTTGCGGCCAAGCGCAGGGGTTAGTGGCATACACTGCAGTAGCCTCTCTTTGAGCTGCCCGCCTGCAGCCTCAGAGCAGCCTCCGGACCGCTCCTCTCCTACCCCGGCTTTTAGAGAACAGCGCCGAAAAGATCCAACTGCTTGAGGGAGCAGCGTGGAGTCATGCTGTCCTAAGTCATAATTCAGCTGCCTCCCTTGCCGGGGATTTTTCCATATGTCTTGGCTTCTGTACCAAGATGCCTTCTCAGGAGATTTGGGCTAGAGAAGAGATGTTTCATGTTCAGTTTCCAGGCCCAGTAAAATAAGAACGTTGAGGGAGTGATCCAGTTGGCTGCAGTTTGGGACTGTCTGCTCCCCCCACCCCCCAGCCTCCCTGCTCCTGGGCAGCCAGATCAAAGTCCATCCAGACTCATTAGCCAGGGAGCCAGGCCTCTGTCTCCAGCTGAGACCTGCCCCGAAGGTGCTTCTTCCAGGGACAAGTGAGTCACCCCTGAGTTAGGGGGGGAGTGATGGGGTATTCCTGGCTTTCCCATTATGTCCAATCAGCATTTTTCAGTTCCCGAGTTTGAAGTGGTTAAGGTCCAGGAGGGAGGTGGTTGGGTAACAGGAATAAGCTCTATCCAGCCGGGCATGGGCAAAGCCCAGAGCGAGCCTCCTTTCAGAGGCTGAAGCAGCCGTTTCTCTATTTTCAAGGATCTGCTTTGCCTGTTGCCCTGGGCATCCCTGGCACGTGGCGGTTTCCCCCTTTCTGGTTCTTCTTGAGGGGGTTAGGACACGGAGGCACCCACGTGACCCCATTTCCATAGACAGGATCCTCTACCCGGGATCACTTTTAAAGAGTTCTTTTCCTGCTTATTTTTTTCATTTTAATACAAAACTATTAGTTCTTAATATTTAAGGAAAAATTTCTTAGAAAAGCACAGAGAATAAAGTCACCTTCAGTCTTGCCACCGCAGGCTTTTTTATCAGTGTATTTTCCTCACAAATTTGGTATCTGCACACATAGTTTTGCAGCCTTCTTTTCTCATTTAACAACATCTTCTGAACATCTTCACATGGGATAAAAATTGTCCTCTGACCTCTCCACCCAAAAGCTGCCTGGCACACTTCCCTCTAGCAGGAAATGAGCAGAGGCAACTTGGAGAGATTCAGGGATTCAGCGTGGGGCTGGAAAACTTACAATTGCAAGGCGGCTGTGCTGCGGCCGTTTGTGACAGGCTGCCTGGGCTAGTGCCAGGACAGTGTCGTCTCGATGATACAGACACACGCAGTCGTGCACCCAGCAGAAATGTGCAGTGAATGAATCTTCAAAAACGCCATGTACCTGGTATGCAGATCAAAACGCAGAAACATGCCGGTCTGCCTGGAGACCCCTTGCGCTCCCCTTCCAGTCTCCCCCCATTCCAAAGGGAGCTATAGCTTGGCCTCTTACGCCACGGATTGGTATTAGTTGTGCCTATTTTTTTTAATGTACTTGTTTGTATCCAGCTTTTCCCACTCAATAGCATGTTTGTGAGATTCCTCTATTGTTGCCTATAGCTGTGGTCTGTTCACTCCCGCTGCTAAGGAGTATTCCAGTGAGGGGGTACAGTCCTGAGTCACTTACCAGTGGGGTCATGTTCTAAGAAATGAGTCGTTGGGCAGTTTTGTCATTGTGCAAACATCCTAGAGTGTAAGCGAGCAAATCTAGATGGCATAGCCTACTAGACCCCTAGGCCAGAAGGCTCAGCCTGTTGGCGCAACCGTCATCTATGTGACCCACCATTGACTAAAATGTCATTAAGTGACATGTGACTTTATGCAAGTCATTTTTCCATGCTTCTGCTGGGAGACACTTGGATTCTTTCCATTTAGGGCCATTGAGAATAGTACTACTATGATCATTTTAGTACATATTTTTGGTGAGCATGTACCCACATTTCTGTTGGGTATAAATCTAGGAGTGGAGCTGCTAGGTCATGGGCATGTCCACATGCAGCTTTAGTAGTTTCTGCCAAATAGTTTTCCAAAGTGGTTGTCCCGGTTTACAGTCCCCCCAGCGGTGCATGGTCATCCCGTCTGCTCCACATCCTCACCAGTCCTTCGAAATGGCATACTAGGGATGGTCGGGAAAGGGCTAATCCTGGTCCTATGGGAAGAGTCCCAGGAGGCCAATCCAGTTCCACTTCTGGATATTTCCCCATTCAGTTAACCTTTCCCCATTTTCTAACTGCCCTTCTGCAGATGTGAATGAGTGCGGCATAAAGCCCCGCCCATGCCAACACAGATGTGTGAACACACACGGCAGCTACAAGTGCTTCTGCCTCAGCGGCCACGTGCTCATGCCAGATGCCAGCTGTGCAAGTAAGTGTCAGCCCTGGAGGCCCAACTTCTGCCATTTGATGCGGGGGTGGGGGGGGAGTTGACTTGAGTGATGTCTCAGCCCACTACCTTCGCCCTAGGATAAAACATCCCTGAGCACTTTTCTTAATTGTGGTAAAATACACAGAATGTGAAACTCACCATTTTCAAGTGTACAATTCAGTGACATTCAGTGTGCTGTACAATGATCACCACTGTCTAGTTCCAGAACATCTTCATCACCCCCCAAAAGGAACCCCATACCCATTAACATCTACTCCCTACTCTTCCCCCAACCCCTGGCAACTTAATCTGCTTTCCGTCTCAGGCATTTGCCTATTCTGGACACTAGCTTTATAAATAAAAAGGCCAACTGGGGAGAAAAATAAGTCGTGTATCTGCATGTCTGCAGGGACGTACCGCTGAGCAAAACAAGCGTATTGTTTCAGGGAGGGGGTGAATGTAAATCCCACTCCGGGATATCAGTTCTTCCCACCAGCTACCTTTCTCACGCCCTTGTGCATGTTCAAAGATTAGTGACTCTTGTTGGAAACACATTCTGATTCACATACCTGAGAAGAAAAGCCTCAGAAGGCCTTATCACAGCCACAGCCTTCTGTGATAAAGAAAGCCCCACGTCCTGTGGGAAAGTAAGAGGCCGCATCTGTTCACTGAGAGGGAGGCTTTTCAGGTTTTCTACTGTGGCCAAAAGGCCAACCCCCGCTCCCTGCCCGCTGCCCTCCTCTCTCCTCACTTCTCTTTCCTCTGCCCCCACAGCCCCATCAAACTGGAGCTTTCTATGGGTGCAGAGGGTTTAGGGCTTCCCAGCCCCTCCCAGGCTTTCGTGAGGTTATAAAATCCTGGCTCGTGCATGGTTTACTGCTCCCCTGGCTGGGCCTTGGCAGAGTGCCCCAGCACCACGAGTCATCTAGATCCTCCTTTAGCAAGCAAGCTTAAGAGATAAAGCAGGCCTTCAACGAGTCTTTTTTTTTAAAAAAATTCTTATTGTTATAAATTAAACAGAAAACCACAAGAGATAAATACATAGCTTAATGAATTCTTAGAAGGCAAGCACCCTTTAACCACTACCAGAGAGCACTTTGCCAGAACCTCCACTCTCCTCCTCACCCTGGGAACCGCTCTCCAGGCCTTTACAGTAATCACTTAAAAGTTTTTAAAAGATATATGCTAATGGGTGTTTCTGAAACATTCCATGAAAGCCTAATCAGTGCCAAAAAAGATACCTTTTCCTAAGTGGAAAGATAGAACAAGGTACATTTTGAAGATTAATTTGAAAAGAAGACAACTAAAGAGCAAAAAGTATGAACTAGAAATATGACCATAGGTAGATGTCTGTCACCTTATCCTCACCTGTGTCTCCATCACTCACAGGCTTTGTCTGTTTCTGTATAGGTAAGGGTGGTCTGTGCCTCACTGTTTATAGCTCACACTGTCTGGGTAGCCCTGGACCTCTCTCCTGGATGATTTTATTTTACCTGGCCCGTTGCAGTCTCTTTTGTCAGCTGGGTGATTGGCTTGTGGTAGATAGGGGTAGATAAAGGGTGTATTCATTGTGTTGTTGTACACACTTATGTTTCATACATACTGGCCCCCTGCTGAGAAAATGCATTTTTGTGAGATAAGTTATATTTAACAAGTGAAGGAAAGGGCCATCTAAATGATCTCATTTATCAAAAAAGCCAAAAACAAGGCAGTTCCAGGACAGCTCAACAAGGACATAGTCTGTTGTCCTCCAGGTATTGGTTTCATGCTTGTGACCTTCTCGTCACAGTATGGCTGCCACAGCTCCAGCTATCACACACTGAAGGTAGGCAAGACGAAGAAGAAAGAAGCAATGTCAATGAACAGTCACTGTTTTCATGCCTGTCTATTTTTATCAAGCAACAGCACCTTTTCTAGGAGCTCCACTCCCTCCAGAGGACTTACCTTTATTTATTTAATTTTTTAAAAGATCTTTTATTTATTTATTCAAGAACCGGGGTACAGGCCAGATGTGCAGGAGGGTGAGAGGATTCACCAGAGACAGAGTAGGGAACAGAACAGGCAGACTTGACTGAAATATGCTGCTGAGGGGAGCAGCGGGCAAGACAGGAGAGGTCTGCTGCGCCATGTAGGTTGCTCAAACCAGCACTGCAGAGGCTGCAGACAGCTTCACAGCGCCGCGTTCAACCACCTGTACCACAGGGAGGCCCAGAATACTTACCTTTATAGTTCTTTGGCCATAACTGGGTCACACGGCCACTGCTTGGTTGCTGCAAGGGAAGCTGGAAGAGAAAGAAGTAGCTGGTTTTCTAGCCTCACTGATGGGATGAACAAGAGAAAAGCAGGTTCAGAATGGGTTTTGGGCAAGTGATCAGTTCTAGCTGCCACATGTTTTAATATAGAGACCTGAGAGATTATGTCTCATGACATAGATGACCCTCATTGAAGCTAGAGGTGTGTGGAGTGCTCTCAGTGGATCCTGTTACTCTAATTTCTCAAACTGATCATCTATATCAGAGGTTGTGTTTTGGCCATTAGAAGCCAGCCACGTGCCCTAGAGGAGTGATTCTTCTCCCACAGGAGGAGAGAGATGCACACTGGTAACGGAGGGGTGCGTGCCCTGCCCAAAGACAGTCAAGTGCAATTCACTGGTCAAGAACACAGACCACAGGTGGGGTTCAGCCCAGGGGCCACCAAAACACCACATTCCATCTGGCTGTCCATGTGGGGTGCAGCCAGTGGGGCCTGGCACCGCTCCACATGTTGCAGTTTGTGGCCCAGAATTCAGAGACCATTTCTCAGTAAGCACCTTTATCATCTCAGGAGGAAAGGCTAATCCTCGTCTACTCTTTCAGACTCGAGGACGTGTGCCATGACAAACTGCCAGTACGGCTGCGAAGACACGGAGGAAGGGCCACGGTGCCTGTGTCCATCCTCGGGGCTCCGCCTGGCCCCCAACGGAAGAGTCTGCATAGGTAGAACAGCGTCCGCTTCTTTGCTTCTGCCCTGGACTGAATTCCTCCTTTTCCCTCATCACCGTCTGCGTGTTGGCTAGAGAGCGCAGGCCCCTGAGAGTAGAGATGTACATCCGTTTTGGAAACTGGTGTTTTCAGCCGCAATATGCTCTATCTAAATGCAGCTCTGAGATGCTAGCAAGGATGCTTCATTATTTTGGAATTGCCGAATGCCACAATGGAAAAGGTCATTTTATGTCAGCGTATTGCCCTTGTACGTTGTCCTTCAGTTACTCTCCCGAGGCAAGCCCGTTACTTACTGTCCACCTCTGGAGCCACTGGGCTTTATTCTGGATTCTAGCTAATATTTTCCTGGAAAATCATATTTACTTACTTTTGTTTAGATAGGAGTTGACTGAAAATGGTCTGTACCTTCTACGTTGTTTACGGTAGCAGGCAGCCAATTTCACATTGTCTTTTTTTTTTCTACTGTCGGAGCTGCAGGCTTTCTTTTGATTGAAGGAGCATTGTGTTGTCATATTATTTACATTCATCGTTGGGAATCAGCCTGTGTCTTCACTACATTTAGTTCACTGCTGAAAGCGAAATCTGCCTTTCACCCTGCCGTTGCTCCCTGTGTCTTGAGCTACTCACCCCCTTCCCCCTTCTTTTCTGGTAACCACTAATTGTCTTTAAGGCTTGCTCTGCAATGTATGGACCAAGTATTCCATGATTACTTGATCTTGGAGAAAATAAAGAGATCAAATTAATGATACTGATTCAGGGAACAGATAAAGCCTTCATTGCTAGCTGGATGTTTTGTCAAGTCGACGACTGGACACTTGGGTCTCATGCTCTTCCTTCTCTTACTTGATGTCTTAGTGATGCTGAGCAGGCACTGATGTGGGAGATGATCCCAGGGAATGCTGGCTGAGAGCAGCGGGGGGACCCAGCGGAGGAAGCACACCCACACTCTAGGTTTCAACAGGCAGGTTAAGTGCCCTGTACCGTTGGACACCTGGGGGAAGCCGCCTCTGACTTTTCCCGCTAGGCCAGGCACACTGGGGAATCTATGCATAACTCCTGCCCTTTTTTGATGGGGGTCTGCTGGGGGCACTGACTCCTCAGCTGCCCTAGGCTGGCATAGAAACGTTGAGTGCTAAGGGACTATAGATGGGCACCCATTGGGGTACAAGCAGCACTTTTTGCACTTTGTGCCTTAGTTCCCTCCTGGATTTGAATTGTTTCCAACCACCAAATTGCATATACTCATAGCACTGTACTGAACTCCATTGCGCTAAATACACACATGCCTGAGAGCATATAGCACTAATATGTCAAACCAAAGGAGACTGTTAAAAGAATTCTCAATCTTTTTTGATTTAACTATAAACGAATGTGATTTAATAGTCTTACTTCTTACTGCAATAGAAATGTTTTTCGGTCAACCATGCTGGATGTTTATTTATCCTAAATGTACACATTTAGATAAACTGTATTTAGAAAACTCAGCCAAATAGGTCCAAAGGGAGTTAAACACTTTTTTTTTAAAGATTTATTTATTTTTTATTTATTTATACAAGCACTGGGTACAGTCAGAAGCGCGGGAGGGTGAGAGAATTCACCAGAGCCAGAGCGGGGAGCAGAGCAGGCAGAAGGACCGAAGGACACTGCTGAGGGGAGCAGCGGGCGGCAGGAGAGGTCTGCGCGCCATGTGGGACCCTCCTCTGGTGGCCGGGGAGCAGCCAGGGATTGAACCAGCACTTCAGAGGCTGCGGGCAGCTTCGCAACCCAGCGCTCAACCGCTGCACCACCTGGGAGACCCCGGGAGTTAAACACTTTTTTGGAAGTGTTAAATTAAAATTTTGTCTCTGCTCTTTGAAAGTAATCAAATATTTTATTAGAATAACAGGGTTAGTACTCTTCAGTAAAATAAGATATGACAAGGATAATTCTTGACCAAGCTGAATCCAAATTTTCACCCCCTCTGATTTGTCAGTGCCTTTTTTACTGGAAGGGGCAGATGATGTGCATGAAAGTTATCAGTGAAAGATCATTTTGGTCAACCCAACACTTATTAATTATTTTAAGAACGCAAGAATGTAATAAATCAGCCCCAACTTGCATGTTTAACCACAGGTCCAAAATAAGCATACAACATCTATTTGATTTGACATCCAAAAGTTAAAATATAACCTTGAGTTGTAATGGTTTGGTGAGCACAGCTGTCAGCTGCCTAGGACTCGACTCTCGATGGTCACGTCCAAAACATGGCATCCAAAGTGGCATCATTACATCTTTACACTTGACCCACAATTTATGGAGAAGTGCATTCTTAGGAAACCATATTGTGGTATTGTGTATTGTGAATCCACTCAATGCTACGTGAGCCTTGCAGGACTTGCTCGTGAAATCATTGTTCTGTAAAAGGGAAAATGTAAGTGTGTATTCAGTTTGCCTATCGTGTAGCTTTCTGACTCTTTAGAAGTTGTATAGGTTAAGGGCCTCCCTGGTGGCACAACAGGTTGAATGCTGCGCTGTGAAGCTGCCCGCAGCCTCTGCAGTGTGGGTTCGATTCCTGGCCGGCCAGGGAGATTCCCACATGGTGCAGCAGACCTCTCCTGCCTGGCCTGCTGCTCCTCTCAGCAGTGTCTTCGGTCCATCTGCCTGTTCTGCTCCCCGCTCTGTCTCTAGTGAATTCTCTCACCCTCCCGCACCTCTGCTCTGTACCCCAGTTCTTGTATAAATAAATAAATCTTTAAAAAAAAAGTTGTATAGGTTATACAATATACATAGCTGGGAAAATATTAATTCACTCAGTAATCATGTAATGTGTATCCCAAGTGCCAGATACCGCCCTGTCCCAGAACAGCCAGGGCCTAGCAGGAGGGAAGATGTGAGAATAAGTGGCGACACCACGGGGAGATAATGTTCTAAAACTGGGTGCACAGAAAGGCAGCAGACTAATCAGAGTTTGCCGCAAAGAAACTGCGTGCGTGCTCGCGCATGCTGTGTGCATATGAGTGTGCTCGTGCATGCATGTGCATCTGTTTTGCTTTTGTTGTAATCACTGACACCTTCTGGCTCTACATCCTAGATATTGATGAATGTGCGGCCGGTAAAGCCATCTGCCCCTTCAATCGAAGATGCGTCAACACCTTTGGGAGCTACTACTGCAAATGTCATGTTGGTTTCGAACTGAAATACACCAGCGGCCGATATGACTGTGTAGGTAAGGTCTGGTGGTGCCTCTTCCCTTTCTGCTCTCCCTGCCAAACCTGTGGGCTTTCTCTAACGTATTTTAATCAATTCAGTCTATGTGTTGAACAATCTACTGTACTGGCTGGTTAAATACCAAAAAAATTACATTTTTAAAGTTGCTGGCATGTAGGAGAACGCTGCTGAGGTGAAATATATGAAACCAGGTCAATAAAGATTTAAATGAGGAAGTTCAGAGTATGTAGCTCTGCTGTGGGTGCAAATATTTGGAGGTGATTTTAGGATTTTTAAGTATTTGGTTGGTTCGGTTTACATTTTGGGTTTTCTCTTCCGGTGTGCAACTAAAAGCGGGACTAACCGTGTCCCTGTATGATCAAAGGAAGACTGACAGGCCTATTTAATCTTGAGCTCAGAGATTCCTTCCTAGCAGCGTCCATCAGGAGTGTTTTTAGAAAAATGTCTGAAGGAGATGAAGACACTCGCTCTTCTCCCCTCTTCGGCCCCTTTATCGTCCCGACTCCCCGTGCCCTCCGCCAGCCCCGTTCCACAGTCGCCGAAGCCACTCTCGTGGGATGCAGTATCACCCGGCTAATGGCCTGGGCCCTGTGAAATTAAATGTTTTAGTGATTAGGTACCCCAAGTCTCAATAAGTGAGTGAAGTGGGGCGGTGGGGGGCCTTGGACACATCGCCGTTGTCCTGGATAGATCGTGGGGCAGGGAAGCTTGGGCTCCTGCTGGACCCCCGATCACAGAAGTTACATACAAATGTGTGTGTCTGCCTTGGACAGCTCACAGCTGGGGGAAAAGTAGGATTTCTTTCAACTCCACACTCAGCTCCGCAGGGCGCCTCCTGTGTAATCGTGTTGGGGCAACACTCGGCTCTTGGATTTGGAACCATCCAGTGGCTTTTCCACAGCGCTTCCTTCAAAGCCCTCCTCCACCGAGGCCATCTGAGACAAGCGTGGAAAGTCCGTGTTTCCAGTGGGCTGGGGCCCGCGCCCTCTGTATCTCATCTAGCTCCGTCACCCAGAAACCCCCTGCAGGAGCACCCCTGAACCCTGCAGGTGCTGCCCCCGGGCATGGGGTGGGAATCCACAGGGTGAACTTCCAAAGGAAACAAATCCTTGTGATTTTAAAAGTGGCTGAGATTAGCATCTGAGCTCTTTGTGGCTTAGTTGGAAACAATAGGCTGCTTTGTGTGTGTCTGCAAAAGCATCGCTAGGACAGGGGGTGGAGGAAAGGGCTAATGAGCCTCACTTGGGGCGAATTCGGCAAACTTTCCTAGTGGAAATCCAGCAGACAAGCTCAGACCGGCCTGACCCTTGCTCCTGGCAGCCTCGGCACACGATGACTGTAAACTCAGGTGGCATCACTGATTCCTCGCCCAGCTTGTCCTGTGCAGGAGATCCAAGCTCTCCCATGTCTAGAATTTCCTTTCTCATAGTGATTGAGTCCTGAATCAGATGAAAAAGTTAAGAACAGCACCCGACAACTGGCAGATTTCGGTAGCACTGAGCAGCAGGAGATGACGTTGCTGGGATCGTGGGGGTGAGCTGCAGACACCCTCTGCGTTCTCAGGTTCCAGGCATCGGCAAAGCCCTGGCTGTGGGCCCAGGCGCCAGGAGTTCAGGGTGCCTCTCGGTTCTCAGCCACGCGCTGGAGGGTGGTGGTGAGCACTTGTGCCTGAATTGCTCCAGTGCAAGGGGGGATTTCAGCAATCCCCATTGCCACAAAGTTGTTCACGGAAATGTTCATACTTCTAGATATAAACGAATGTGCTGCGAATACCCACACATGCAGCTTCCATGCCAACTGCCTCAATACCCTAGGGCCTTCAAGTGCAAGTGCAAGCAGGGGTTTAAAGGCAATGGACTTCGGTGTTCCGGTGAGTAGCCTTTGGTGATGGCGTCTTACCTATTCCCAAGAAAGCATTTTCTCCATGCCTCCTTCCTCCCTTCACATTTCTCCCTCCCTCCGTGTGTGTGTGTGTGTGTACACACGCATGCACCCATGCGTGCAGTGTTTGAACTTTTAACTCTGCCACAGCCTATCTTCCCTGCTAATTGGATCACATCTCCAATACCCACTGAAGCTGTGGGCACAAATCTTTGAAGAGCAGCACAGGTTCTAGATATTTTTCTGGTCGCAACATACTGAAAATAAGATTTAAGGGAACAAAGACACTGAGCGAATGTATGAGGGGTGGTCAGGTCAGGGCGCACTGCAGCGGTCATCATGGGCCAGTGGTTTGGGACCACAAAGCTTTTCAGCCACGTGAATCTGCACATTTCCCAGAATGCACGTGTGTTACCCACGGAGGCTCCATTCTTCAGCTTTTCTCCTTCCTGTCTCACTGCTTCCCTCCCTCACACTGCCTCCTGGGATCACCTCCCAACTAAATCACCTGTACCCACATCCTTGTGTCAGGTTCTACTTGGGGGAACCCCACATTAAGACAAGCACCTCTCACACTATGGAGGGAAAGGAGGGATTGGGGTCAAAATAAGGGGGTTGCAATTGTATGGGGAATATAAAAATAAAATTAAAAAAAAAAAGGACAAGCACCTCTCTAATAGGTTCACTGGGAGATTTATTTTTTTATTATTTTCATTTTTTTTTATTTTTGCATAGAAGAACTGGGGTGTAGGTCAGAGGTGCAGGGGTGAGAGGATTCACCAGAGACAGAGTGGGGAGCAGAAGAGGCAGATCCACTGAAATACACTGCTGAGGGTAGCAGCAGAAGAGACAGGAGGGGTCTGCTGCATCATATGTGGGACAGCTCCCTGGCCAGGGAGTGAACTCAGGCCCTAGGGGTGATAGCACTGAGACTTAGCCCCTAGGCCATCAGGGAGGCCCTTCATTATGAGATTTTAATGAGACGATACAAGGAGAAAGCTGAGCTCTCATGGATGCTTAGTAGATGCTCAGTAAAGCTGGCTGTGTGGTGGTTGTCAGTATCATGTCAGTCAGGCCAGCTACTCTTGACTGAAATTCTGTAAAAGGTAAAGGTACAGTGCATGCAAAAACAGTTTCAGTTTCATACCCCCATGTACCTTTGACCCTAGGTGTGAGAATTGAAGTTTGGGAAGAACCTCCCAGAATTAACCTGGGGTCATCTTCCTGGTCCCTCAAATCCCCTGGAACCACATTGTCCAAAAGAAGGCGACATCTTTTTTTAAAGAGAGAATCCCCTCTAATTAGCATCAGCGTTATAACATGTTATATCACTTATACATACATGTGTATGCACATGCATCACAATTATATAATGTAGAGCATTGATATAGCAGCTTTTATTATGACCTCATTAGTTTGCAAAAGTTCAGACATAATAGTGCAGTACCAAAGAGGTATGAGTAATAACCCTTACCCACCACCTGCACCCTGAGGAAGAAGCCCCCTAAATGTAGATGTGCATCTATTTTTCACTCTTTAATATATGTCAGTATTAATAATATACCATGGAATAATTTGGTCTTAATTTGATGGCAGCTATACCTCATTTTAAGAACATCGAAACTAGATACTACCCAACTTGGCCATGGATGGTCAGTTCCAGAAAGGACACTGTCATTGAGTTACCAGGAGCATGGCTTCTAGAATCGAATTACCTTAGCTTGATTCTTGGCCCCTTAGCTGCCTACTGAGGTGGACTGAGAACAAATGTTTTAAACCTTCTGTGCCTCAGTCTATGTATCTACAAAATAGAAGACAGTAGTGTCTGACCCTTAATACTGTTTTGACCATTGCATGAAATAATTCATCTGTAATCAGTAGGTGTCCAAATAAAGGGCTTAGCTCCAGCCCAGAATATATTAAACACTCATAAATCAGGCACTTGTAGTAGGAGTAATACTCCTTTTACCAAAATTCAACAACTGTTCCCATCGAAAAGCAACTCTCTTTGTCTTTAGAAATATGCCTCTGATTTAATTCAATTTATATAGAGAACATTCGAGAACATAGATTTTGGTAGAACCAGATCATTCCAGGTTTGTTTGTTTTTTTTTTCCCCCCTTTCAATTATAACATAAACAGAAGTTTGGAGTTATGGCATAGAAATTATTTTTTTTAACTTAGTAAATGATTTTTTTAAACATTCTGACCATGAATTCTACAAATATAGCAAACACAGCTGGAATATCTTAGTCACGGACATATATTCACTCATTTAAACCTCGTAAAAGCCCACTTCTCCCCATCTTATAAATGGGTAGACTGAGCTAAAGAGACGTTGACTATCAGTTCAAGGACATACAACTAGATGTGGGAACTAGGAGTTAACCCCAGAGAACTGGGCCTCAGGCCTGCGTGCTTAAACCCAGGACAGGCGTGGCCATGTCCTCTGGGGACTCCTGGGAGGAGACCTCTCCTGGGCCCTCCCTGACAAATTCTCCCGCCTCAGCGTTTCTCCCTTCCTGGCCCTTCCTGTTTCCCGGGTCCCATGCTGCAAACATTTCATCCTCTTGAGACTGTGTCGGAAGCCCAGAGGGAAGCCCAGACGGGAGGCGTGTTTCTCCTGCCGGATGGTGAGAAATTGTCTGGTGAACTGAACATGGGTGGATGAACGTGGACTTCTTGTCCCCCCTGGGGTCAGTGTTCTCACATCACAGTGATTTCTCTAAGCAAAGTTAAGATTTTCAGGCAGACAAAAGTTTTTGACAAAGTGGATACTTAGACAAATCTCTCCCAAGAGAAGTAGTCAACATCATCTACAGAAGACTGAAAACTCTGGAATTTCCCTACTTTTATGTCTGACATCCCCAAACATGCCAAAGACCCAGCTGCTACTTCCTCCTGCATTTTTATATTATCAAGAAGATGATGCAGTAATCAAGAGTTCTAAGACACTCCAGCTTTCTACGCAAAAAATAAATAAAATCTTAGAGAGAGAGAGAGAGAAGCAATCACCTATTATGTCACATTGGAAATAGCAATATCTAGCTCGATAAAGCCAAATTTATCCATTCACCATCAGGCACATGCATAGCTTTTTAAATCTTTGCTCCAGCTTACCTTACATACTAAGAGACTAAAATTGTTGACCTCATAAAGTTGTGATGTTTTGATTTTTTTCAACAGGAAAAACTGAAACTCCAAGGCAGAAACTGAGCGCAGATGTTTAGGTTTGCCTAGTTTGCCTGAAACCCTCACCTCATTATTTATTAAAGGCCCTTAGTTTTATGTTACTGATTGCATAAAGGAAATTTCCAGGGGAGGGGCATTTCCTGTTCATTTTTCATGTTGGGTCCTGGGAAAAGATTCCCAGGACAGAATTACACAGGGCGGCCTGCAGAGGAAGGTCTATATGTGATCTGAACATTAACAAGCAAAACGGAACCTGTAACCTCTGGCAAAGGAGCTGAAACAGGCCATCGGAAGGTCAGGACAGTGAGTGATGATTGTACTAGGACAGTGGGATTTGGACCTATAACCACAGGCTGTCACAGTGATAAACAACTGGAATATTTTGTTGGAAAGGGAAATGTAGCTTTTTTGAGATGACAACCTTACTTGATTCCAAGTAACAGCAATGCCGCAATTAAGAGCCCGGATATTTTCAAAGCATTCTTCTTTCTCCTTTTGATTATTCAAAATGCAGTGGACGTCTTGTTTATTTTTCTACTGCTTTGGTACAGACTGGGTCAGCCAAATGATGGAGGAGAAACTGAGCAGAAGGAGAGATAAAAACATTGCCAAGAAAAATATTCTAATAAAATCCGGATCCAATTTCGTTTTATAGCATTCTTTTTCATCACCAAAATTGGTATCTACTCCCTTAACTTCATTTCCCTCCAAACTATATCCTTGTAGTAGAATTGAGTGATTTGTTGTTTCCGGTGTTAATCAGACCCTTTCTTGCTTAGCCTTAGACTAGCACATGCCTAGGTATTTTATAATAGGACAATATATTTGATTTTAAAGATCAGTGTGTTTTAAATTTTTTGCTTACTTTTTTACATCAGTTGGCTGTTCTTGTGTGTGTGTGTGCGTGTGTGTAGCTCAGACATTTAATATGGCTGACTCTAGAAAATGCTTTGACAAGGCACAATGAGACGGTAAATCTTTTTAGGTAGACTTTAGACTTTATTTATTTGCGGTCACATGGGTAGACATCACTGTGTATGATTCAAACGAATAGGTTCACACCAGTCGGCTATTGTCCAGGAAAGGGGTGTGCATCTTTGGATTCCAGAGCTCTAGGAATTTGAACCAGTTTCATGGAAAGAAAGCTTTGCCCTAATGACGAAGAAAGCTGTCATGGAGATCGGAGTGGAAACAAGTCCATTCATGCACTTTGCCCGCCCAGGCTGCTCTGTCCTGGGAGCTGAGCGACCCTGGGCATGTCACCAACAAGCAAATGACACTTTTTTAAAAAAAAGATTTATTTATGCATACAAGAACCAGGGTACAGGCCAGAGGTGCATGGGTGAGAGGATCCACCAGAGACAGAGTGGGGGACAGAAACAGGCAGACTGACCGAAATACACTGCTGAGGGGAGCAGTGGGTGAGACAGGAGAGGTCTGCCCCGCCATGTGAGTGTCTCCCTCAAACTTGTGCGGCAGAGGCTGCGGATAGCTTCATAGTGCTGTGCCCAACCCCTTGTGCCACCAGGGAGGCCCCAAATGACCCTTTTTGTATTGCTTGGACCCTTCTCCAATGAACATTTTCCCCCCAAGAGTCATTGGTTCACCCTGGGAGGGGTGGTATGTGAGGAATCAACCTAGAGGTACATTTTAAAAAATTATTTAGCTTAGAGATGAGAAATGGTAAATGAATGTAAAACAGCAAGTATAACAGCTTCTCTATAAATGTCCAACAAATAAAATCATCTCATTTTCGACAGTTGACTGAGGTGAAGAAATTGAGCGGAGGGAGAGACCAGGGAAGGAAATCAGGTGTGTACACATTGAGCCAGTCACCATCTCTGCAGGCCACAAATGGTCCACTGTTGACCATTTACATGATTCACACCAATACAAGAGCTGTGATCTTGGAACATCAAATTCGGACAGCTCTCCCCGGCTGCCTGGCTTCAGCGGTTGGGGGCATACCAGTGTGAAAGCAGAAATAGGAGAGGAGCCTGGGAAAGCCACGCCTTGGGGATCTGTAGCCTGACTTGGGAGTCAGAGCTGGTATTGGCCTCAAGTGGTGTGGGAAGCAAAACACAGCGTGGCCTCTAACAAAGGCAGCGAGAGGGCGAGATGCAGGCAGCGTCCGAACTGCTTAAAACAGCTACAAGTATCATTCTTCCTAAATATCCAGTGGTGGCACGGCAGCCTCTGGAAACCTGCACTTGCTGTGTTTGCTTCGGCAGCACATATACTAAAATTGGAAACCTGCACTGGCTATGCTTGAACACTTAAAAGCGCTCCTTTCCGCGAGCAGGCCTCACTCCTGTTTCTGTTTGTTTTAGTTATCCCCGAAGATTCGGTGAAGAAAGTCTTCAGAGCGCCTGGTACCATCAAGGACAGGATCAAGAAGTTGCTTGCTCACAAAAACAGCATGAAAAAGAAGGGGAAAATTAAAAACGTCATCACAGAGTCCCCGCCTTTCGACTCTGGAGCAAGCATTTCCAGAGATGGGAAACCTCCGGGGGGAAAGCAAGGGAGCACAGAGAGAAAGCAAGAGGGGCTTGAGGAAGAGAAGAGAGACGAGAAGGCCCTGAAGAGCCACGCGGAGCAGGAGCGGCGGCTTCGAGGAGACGTGTTCTGTGAGTATCACCTGGTGGTCTCCGCAGGTCACGGAAGGTGACGTGTGGTCTCTCCGGGGAAGTGAAAGAGGAAAGACATGGCACACCTTCGGTGGAATGAATTTGGCTTGAAGTCCTAAGGAGCAGGGTCCCCGTCAGGCCTGGAAAGGAGCGTCTTGCCCAGATCCCAAACCAAGTTTGCTGCTGTGGGAATGGAGGAGTGGAAGTCCTCTCCCCTTACCTAGGGGTCTCCTCTGCGTGGGGCCCCTCTTTCCATTGTCTGGCTGCCCAGCTCTCCCTGCCACCTACCCCCAAATCAGAGAGCCGCTCTCCTTGTCTACTTCATGGAAGTGCTGTTTGTACGGGCTGACGGACCGAAAGGGGACGTCACAGCCGTGTGCTTAGGATTTCAAAAGCCAAAATAGACCATTGTGAGGACGAACATTCCATAGGGGGCCTGAAGTTGTGTGCATGAACTGGGTAGATGCCCTTTGACCTGGATGCTGTGGGAAGTGTTAGCCCCTCCAGCGTGGTTGCCATGGTAACTCCCTGGGTCCCCGCTGGGCCTTCCCATTTTATTCTCTGGGCAGCTGTTGCTGCCTCTATATTTGCCTCCTCTATTCTTGGCCCTTTGGCAGTTGAACTTAATCAAATGAAAAGTAGGCACATGTCCATTAAGTCAAGAGCTAGCACACCAATCGCAGTAGCTCCCTTAACAGACAGTGAAAGTATTTTCAAAGCCCTGTGAGAAGGGTCGCGTTAGTGTCAGTGCTTAAGTCACCTGGGGAACCTTTGAAAGAAGATTCTAGATGGAGAAACTAGAACTAGTTATCTAATATATTCTGTAAGTAGAAAGCTTAATGAACCCCCATATTCTATTCATTCATACCTTCTTTTTTAAAGATTTATTTTATTTATTTATGCATACAAGAGCTGGGGTGTGGGCCAGAGATGCTGCTGGTGAGAGGATTCACCAGAGACAGAGTGGGGAACAGAACAGGCAGATTGACCGAAATACACTGCTGAGGGGAGCAGCAGGTGAGTCAGGAGAGGTCTGATGTGCCATGTGGGTAGCTCCCTCGCTGGGGATGGAACTCGTGCTGCAGAGGCTGCGGATAGCTTTCTAGTGCTGAGTCTTAACCCCTTGCACCACCAGGGAGGCCCCATTCATACCTTCTTAGCGTGTGGGGCTTGGGATTTTTCTTTTCTTTTCTTTTTAAAAAGATTTATTTATTTATTTATTTATTTATTTATTTATTTATTTATTTATTTATTTATTTATACAAGCACTGGGTACAGTCAGAAGCACAGGAGGGTGAGAGAATTCACCAGAGCCAGAGCAGGGAGCAGAGCAGGCAGAAGGACCGAAGTACACTGCTGAGGGGAGCAGCGGGCGGCAGGAGAGGTCCGTGCGCCATGTGGGACCCTCCTCCGGTGGCTGGGGAGCAGCCGGGGATCGAACCGGCGCTGCCGAGGCTGCGGGCAGCTTCGCGACCCAGCGCTCAACCGCTGTGCCACCGGGGAGGCCCCTTGGGATTTTTCTTAACTGATCGAGTATTCTTTATCAGTCCCTAAGGTGAATGAAGCAGGTGAATTCGATCTGGTTCTGGTCCAAAAAAAAGCTGTAACTTCCAAACTGGAACGCAAAGGTAATGACGCTTTCTCCCAAGTCTGTGCTCTTTTACAGTGTCCCATGTTATTTTCCTGCCTCCACAGGATGAGATGATTGTTCATAAATCACTGCTTTGCTCATAAGCAACCTAGAGAAAATGATCATATCATGACACAGTTTCGGTATGAAAACAGCAGGTCCTTACCTGTTGAATTCCAGTGATGACAGTGAGGCTCTTTTCTTCTCTCCACCACTCCCACCCGTGCCCTAGAGAGAAGGTGCTGTTCCAGGCTGGGTTCCTCAGAAACAGACCCGGAGGCAAGAATAGGTGTGCAGGTGCTCTATGTATCATGTGATCCTAGGACTCAGTGGTTGGCAGTGGGAAAGCGAGATAGGAAAGAGAAGGAAGCAGTGAAGAGTGAGAGCATGGCCAAAGCCATGTCCACTGTGGGCAACTGGAGCTCCACCCCACTGGAAACTCTGGGAGCCAGTGGCGAGCACGTGGCACGTGGCCCAGAATGGTTCAGCTGGAGCTGCAAGGGAGCTGGGTATTTATACACCAACTGCCTCCTAACATTGATGGAGAGCTGCTAGTGGGTGTTTATTCCCTGGCACTTCTGGCATGCATACTTGCAGGGAAGGGCATCACTGTGGCAACCCACCCTCCATCCAGCTGCACCCATTGGGGAACTGGAGAGAACCTGGATTCCTTCCCTTGCCAGTTCTTTATTTATTCCTTAGCATAAACAGTCAAAATCCCAAAGTCAAAGCCAGAGGCTAACATTAGTTACAAATCAGAAGCATCTCATAACGCCTCCTCTTTCCCAGTGGAATTTTCTGTTATCTACCTCAGCGGTTAAAAAGCTTTTTCCATTAAGGGCCAAATAATAATGTTAGGCTTGGTGAGCACTACAATCTCTGTTGCAACTACTAGTTCTGTTATTGTAGCTCAAAAGCAGCCATAAACAGTATGTAAATGAATGGGTGTACTGGGTTTCAATAAAACTTTATTTACAAAAACAAGCAGTAGGCCAGGATATTAGTTTGCTGATCCCTGATCTACATAAAAGTAACCAGAGACAATGGTTCAAACCAGCTGATACAGCTATGATATTTCCCTGACATATCTAAAGGCAGTCTTTCAATCATAAACAACCTAGTAACAATTTAATAACTGGCTGTGTGTCCATTCATTTGATCCAACTCAATGGTGGCAACTTTAGAACTGTAATCTTGAAATCACAAGATAAAGAAAAAAAGTTTTGTTTTTATTAATATATGCCAAACCAATCTTGGCAAGCCATGGACCACATGAAACTTAGTATTCCACAGATCATCTACAAAGTTCTAGCAGTCTCTAATTTATTTGGGTAGGAAAGATTTTATTTTCTGGCCTGAATTTTACAAAAATTGCCTACATTCTCTGTTTTGCTTTGTTCATGGGATCTTGCCCATTATTTCTTTCTAAAAAATATCAGAACAGAATTTTCTAGAATGCCTGCACAGATTTAAATTGAAGCAGGGTCTCTGGTTTGCCACTCACCTTAAGGGCAATTTCAGTTGTCATGATCTGTACTCCATGCAACCAAAAACATGGTAGTGCCTTCCACAGTTCCAAATGTTCTTCTAATGCTCTTTATGTTATGAAATGTACCCCTTTTTCTGAGCAGACTTAAATATCTCCGTCGACTGTAGCTTTGACCATGGGGCCTGTGACTGGAAACAAGATACAGAAGATGATTTTGACTGGAATCCTGCTGATCGAGATAATGGTATTTAGATTTCACTGTTTCGTGTTCTGCATGATGGCGCGGGCAAAGCAGGCTCTCCAATGACAGGACGGCTACTGTCCCTGTCACTTGTGAGATCAGGGTGGTTTGTCACCTTTGAAAACTTTTAGATCTTCTGAAGTCTGCTTTGATGGATGACTAACTTGGTTTGACATATTTTCTCCTACTTCATTCCTCTCCCACCAACCTCTCCCCACAAAGGATATTCCAGCAAACTTCTATACAGTCATGCACTGCTTAACAGGCGGTGCCATCCAGCCTAGGTGTGTGGTAGGCAATACCCCCTAGATTTGTATGATCACACTCTGTGATGTTCACACAAGCACAAAACCACCTAATGAAGCATTTCTTAGACCTGCGCATCCCCATCTTGAGCAACGCTTGACTCTTCACTCTCCTGCTGCCGAGAGAGGGATGCTGGAATTCCTGTAAGGGTTAAGAGCATTGAGGAAAAGGCAGGAGAGGGTGTTCCTGTCCCCAGCTCACCAGCTATGATGCTCTGTAGTTGGTTTTGGGTTTTGGTTTTGATGGGAAGATAAATCTGGAAAGGAAATACAACCTCAGCCTAAACCTGAAGTTTTAGTAAGAGTCACCCCTCAACCCATCAAAACCACAGCGTGCCAAATCAACATTCTCAACACCTGGGCTGAACTTTCCCTTCCGTTGTTGGAGGATTTCTTTCTTAGCAGCTCTTCAGACCCCAATCTTCAAGAGTTTTTGTTCAAGTTCATCAAAGCCAAAACCAGGTTAGAGATGCACACAGGTCTGCCACCACTGGTTAAAAGATGCCATTAAAGCCATAAACTAATTTACTTAAAAATATATACTGTTAAAGCTACTGCAAAGATAGATGCTTAGAAATAGATGTGTTCCTCTTACCTTCTTTCCGAACTTGGGGTGACATGTTATACACATTCTGGGAAGCTCCATGAAACCATCAATACAAATTCAGGTATGTTGTGGATTAAACACCACCAGTGGCCCTGGCTACAGAGTGGCCATCACACATATCATTCAGATAACCAAATGGAATGCAAGTTCTCCATCAGCTGCAAGCTACCATAGTGCTGAAGGACCATTTAATTAGTCTCGCCCCGTATCTGCTACGACCAAGCCTTGTGAATGTGGACACATTCCTCAGTCTCTCCGGCCCTCAGTTTCCTTCTCTATACAACAAGGAATTTCAGCTCTGTGACCCCTAAAGTCCATTTTAGTGCGACATTTTTGTTCCTATGTTCAAAATGAAAAGGACTTCAGCTTTCCCTGTCAGAGACTAGCATTCACTTTCTGTAGCTGCTTATTCTCTGTCATCCAACCCTGTACAATGGCCTCATTTACATTGCCTTTTCCTTCCCTGGCAGCTGTCGGCTACTACATGGCTGTCCCCGCCGTGGTGGGGCATAGGAAGGACATCGGCCGATTAAGCCTTCTGCTCCACGGCCTGCAGCCCCGAAGCTACTTCTGTTTGCTCTTCGATTACCGCCTGGCGGGAGACAAAGTAGGGAAACTTCGCGTGTTTGTGAACGGCAACGACAGCGCGCCGGCGTGGGAGAGCAGGAGCGAGGACGCAAGCTGGAGGACGGGCACAGTGCAGTTCTCTCAAGGGGCCCACGCGACCACGAGTGTAAGTGGGAAAGGGACGAAGCGAGGCATGTACGTTCGTTTGTAATGATTTAACAGAGAAAACAGAACGCTTCCGGAGGCACGTAGCCCCGCGTGAATGAGTGAGGCGCTTTCCCTCCTCGCACAGAGTGGGGACTGTGCAAAGTGGGCGCGGCCGTTAGCCAGAGCCGCTAGTCGCCGCAGGGCCGGATAATCCTGGCCTGGCACACGCAGGCCACGAGCTGTGCAGATGGTCTGTGCGTTTCCGACTCCTCTCACCAACCTCCTCCCAAACCAGGTCCTAAAGCCCTTAAGTGGTAAACATTTTCTTCATTCCTTCTACGCCCAGCGCTTCTCGCGGAGCGTGGAAGCTAGAAGGTCATCTTTCATGTTTTTAAAACTGAACTGAGAGGAACTGCTGGCTGGGGTCCCCAAGACCACCCTCAGGTTCTGGGATACCCCAGACAGGCTCGCAGAGCTCAGGAAAGCTGGTGTGGTTACGGCTACAGTTTATTGCCCTGGAAGGGGTAAGATGAAAGTCGGCAGAGGGAAGGGTGCGCGAGGCCGCGGGCAGGAGCGACTGGGCGCCAGCTTCCGTCTTCCCGCACAGGCACATCTCCCAGCAGGCACTCGTCATGGCACTTGCAGTATGCTCCCTGCCAGGGACGCTCATGTAAGCCTTGGGGTTCAGGGGTTTTATCGGGGGTCAGTCTGTCCACATGGCGTATCCATGAGGCTCTCCTTAGTTCCTCAATCTCCAGCCTGTGCAGAGGCCAGGCTGATACCACGTGACCCGAGGCCCCACCCGAACTCCTATGTTAGCATAAACTCTCTGGCTTGACCAGAGGGACACTCTTATCAAGTAGCATATGCCAAGGACTTGGAGGTGATCTCCCAAGAACCAGTCAAGGGCCAAATTTTGTTTTGGGATGTGCAGGGTTTGGAGAACCCAGACCTGCCGAGTTAACCCTTTACTGCACAGAGGGTTTAATGAAGGAAGAGGGAACAGAGGTTTAAGAGGTAGTTCGTCAAGGGAATGAAACACGGAGGCAAAGCAAAGAGGGTAAAAATGTCAAAGAGACTATCAAGCTTGATCAGGAAGTGGCCTGTGTGAGCATTTTTCCTTTGGAGGGGATGGGAGGAGAGCTCTCTCTAGAGAGACAGGAGGAAAGGGAGCAGAGCCCCCGCCCTTTGTGCAAAGTTTGGCTGAGATGGGAATGGAAAAGGGTGAAAGCTAGAAGGAGATGCATGAAAAGCTGAGATCATCCAATGGTGATAAGAAGAACAATGGGTCGATGTGTGAATTGGGAATCCGTTTATACTTTGCTTGTGAAGTCAGGTATTAGTTAACATAAATAAAATCCTGTTTCTTGGGACTAGGCGTCAGACAGGAAGTCTGGTCCCAAGTGTCAGTTGTTAACTTCAACACCCTTCATTTATTTGTCACACTTAAATCCAAGCCTGACGTCTTATTTAAAATACATCCGATTGTTTCACTTATAGGAGGAACAAAGAGAAACCATACAAGGGATCAGGGGGAAAAAAAGACAAAACTAACAGGCCAACTATAAATCAGAGCCATTCAGGAGGGGAGTGCGAGGGGGAGAGACCAAAGCAGGGAGGGAGGAGCACAAGGGACGATGGTGTGGAGCACGGGTGTCTTGGCGGTAATGATTTTATGGGGACTACACCTGAAAGGAGAAATCAAACAGTGTACAAAAGTGAACAACAATGTAAAAAATACATAAATAAAAATTAAGCAGAAATGATAAAATCCACCCGAAGACATGACTACAGATAAAAGTATACATCGGGCCACAGTTAACGAAAGCCATTCCTTCCCGGTCCGAGTGTTGGCCTGGTACTGACACACCTACTTATTCCTCTGCAGCCTTTCCCTTCTCAGCTTCCCAGAGCTTTCCAGATTCTTTTAGGTGCTGCTGTCACCCTCTTTTCTCTGAACATAACTCACTCCGTGCAGCTACTGGCATCTGGAAAATACATTTCCAGCCTCAAAGCCTGTTCCCGTGCAGTAGGGACATGAGTTCAGTCCTCTGTAATCGCTATCAAAAAGTTTAACTTTATCATCATTGTGAATATTTTGAAATCGATTTTGTATTCTTTCTCCATCATCAGATCATTTTTGAAGCAGAACGCAGCAAGGGCAAAGCTGGAGAAATCGCTGTGGACGGCGTCTTGCTGCTTTCAGGCTGGTGTCCCGACGGTCTGTTATCTGTGGATGGTTAAATGTTACTATTGCCTTTTGTATCTTTATATTTGGCTTTTTATGTTGGTTCTCTGTTGTTGTTTTCTTTTTTTTTTTTTGATATTGCATCATAGACGCCCCCATTTTAGAAGTACAGAATGAAAAATTGTACTAACGAATATTGCAAGATGCCTTTTCTCGTAGAAGATGCACCGGTATTTGCTTTAAATATACCATTTGTGTCTCCTCACTCGTGTCTGAATTTATAGAATGTGGACATGCAAAAAACAAAAACAAAATGCCAGTTCAGCTTCTTCCCCCAGCGTGTTTGATTTGATTTGTCTACATGAGTTGATGAACTGCGGTATGCATTTTTAGATACCAAAAAAGGAGGAAAAAAATACGCAACTATTTGACTCCTGTGGCACTTCTGGGAAACTGACATCACAGATATACTTTTTACCCTAGTGGCTTAGCCTGATTTGTTACAGCCACACTTGCCCATTTAAATTCTTGGTAATAATAATATCCAAATAATCACCTTGTGCCATGGTTTAAGTTTTTCTAAGTAAGAAAATGTGTCGTTGATTCTATGTTTAATGATGAGTATGATTTTTTTGCTTTGCTGAAAATGTGGCTTTTATTCTCTTCTCTACTTTCATATTCTTAAAAGTCCTTAAAATTGCTTCCTATTACGAGAACAGATGACTGCTTTACTAGGCCTCATAACTGCAATGCGAATTAGCTTAAGTTGTTGAATTTAAGGCATCAGAGAACTACCTAAAGCTAAACTATGCAAGTGGCAGGACTCAGAAACAGTCCAACGCGGCCTTTTCTACTTCTCTTTTCTTCTGAATTTAAGAACAGCTCTATGTGGTAATGAATCCCGGGTGTATTCCCTGAGGATGAAAATATATTGTTTTGAGATCCCGCACCAGAAAGTTCCAGGACAGTTCCCCATCAACCTCCTGATGCTTTTTGGATGAGATGTTCCCTTGGTGAGAATCACTGAGATCACTGAGGGTCTGTGCGCTGGCTTTGCTAAGTGTGTTACACTTCAAAAAAAAAAAAACTTTATAATGTAACAGTATTGACCCTCTTTCCAGTGAACTTCATCTATCTGACTTGGTGCCCAACACCTTGGGACACGTGGTGAATTCTCCACTCAGTACCCAGCGGGGAAGACTGAAGTTACGGACTCGGGTATAATCCAGCCACCAGTGACTCTCCCCTCCACATGTCCCCTGACCAGACATCCACGAGACCACTGGACCAGGGACATCAGCTGGCTGCTGGGGCTTAATGGCGCCAGAGGCATGAGGGCTGGTTCAGCAGCCCAGGGGCTGAGGCCTGAGGCAGTATTCCTGCTGCTCAGGATTCTAGAAGCCTCTCCTTTCCCCCATCTGTAGGTCTCTCTAGACAGTGATAGAAGTTTCTACTCCCGCTCCAACCCCCATCTCTGTCACGGGTCCTTTGGAAGATCTTTTTCCTCCTGAGTCCAACCTGCGTGTCGCTGTATCCTGCTGAACGAGACCCTTTCCTCCAGGACCTTCAGCTCTGGTGCTCTGCCAGGCTCCTAGCAGTGCCCCCTGGCGGCAGCCACACACATAGACACAGGCTTCTGCATCTCCTGCTCCCTCCGCTCCATTTCTCCCCTTCTTTCAGGGCACCCAGAACGTTCCGACTTAGTCACCCCAAGACTCGAAGAATCCAAGGCCTCAGACCTTTCATTCTCTCCCAGTTCACCCCAGCAGTGTTGACTTGTCCGGTGTCCCCTTCGGCTGGTCTCTGACCAGTAAGAAGACTGCCCCTCGGCCCACGCAGGGAGTCAGGCGCTGCAGGTGCCGCCCTCCATGTGGGGTAGCTGCTCACCTCTACCACTCTGGGAAGCCTGGCACCCAGGAGTGGGAGGGCAGTTCCAGCAGCGTGGTAGGTGGTAGGGCCAGGGATCCCCTTCTTGAGTCAAACCACACGGTTCCATGTCTGCTGGCAGGCAACAGAAACAGCTCCGCTAACTTGCAGTGAGAGGAAGTTACGATACGGGAGCAGGAGTGCAGGCGGTGGGGAGACCAGTCGTCCAGCCTTGGAAATGGGCCGCAGCACAAAAGCAGAAGTGTAAGAAAAGGCGTTGCTGATCAGGATGCCGCCCCGCCGGGGTGATGGGTCTCCATGCTGGCCTCCCTGTTACACTGCTTTACTCAGAGAGGGGTGTGAGTGCAGCCCAGCTTGGGTCATGTGGCTGCCCGCCCCCCCAGGCAGATTGGGGCCTCTGATGGGCGCATCAGGAGGTGGGCTAAGTGGGAGAGAGAAGGGGAGCAAACCTGCCAGCGTCCACTATGTGGTCCCCATCAGGTCAAAGCTGCCATTGAGAACGTGCCATTGTCCCGGCCAACGCGTCAGTTGAAATCACTACTTCATGACAGAAGAGTGGCACCGTTGCTCTCCTCTGTGACTGAAAACTGGGTAGTGGTTGGGTCAGGTTTGAAATGAAGAGCAACTAACATAAATGCTATGGCGTGAGCCCAATGACATGACAACTCCAATGGTATGGGGTGGGGGGTGGGGATGAGGCTGAAATGGAAAAAGGCTTCTCGGGGGCACTATCAATCAGAACGGTACACTTCTGGCCAAACATGCCCCCCTGGAGACTGAAGACCTGGAAGGAACATGGTCATTCTTTATATTGTCATTTTTGATGAATGGTTCCTCTTGGCGGCACGCCCAGGCCATAGCCTGGACGAGGGCTGTGGGTGCGTGTGAGGTCAGTCGTGAAGCTCCCCGTGCAAAGCAAAAGGCAAAGGAAGCAGCACAGACCACCGGTTTGTACTTTGTCTGGTTTTTTATGGAAGGAGCATTGTGTTGCATCATCCAGGTTTCAGGTGTGCATCATTATAAATCAACAAGGCCCATATTTTTAGGTCAATGCGCAGGTCTTGCTGCTGTGATGAACGGCTGTTGGAAACGACCTCCCTTTAAAGATCACCCGGGAACTGAAATGAAGCGAGGCAGTGCCCAGAGACGTCCGCACTGCAGTGCCCGGGCAGATGGCCGCCTCCTGCTTGCCTCCTGCTCGCCTCCACCCCAAAGGGGCGAGGGCCAGGTGCTGGGCTTCCGCTCACAAGGCAAGGGGGCAGGCCGGGGTCTCTAAGAGTTGGCATTCTTTCATCCCATTTCTTTGTGTACTTTTCCTCTCTTTTCCTGATTGAATGGAATTTTGAGTCATCCCTACTAATAAAGCAGTACTGTCTCATCGCCTCTGAATTTCCACCCGTGGGCCGAGAAGAGGCTGCAGTAAATTTGTGGGGCCTTCGTTTTTCTCCTAATCTGTTGCCATGGATCTGCGGTCGCATAACTCCCACTCTAGAGAGACAAGCAATGTGGATGAACGGTGTGAAAAGGGAGAACAGGAGGCATGGCCAGGACCTAAAGATGAGCACAGGCCCAGGAGGATATTCAATGGGAACCTTCCTGACCCAGGGCTCCCCCCAGGCCCCTAAAGCTGAGCACCAGGTTAGGTGGCTCTCTGTAAGCTCAGTAAGGTGGCTCTCAGTAAGTGATTCTGGCTCCTTCTCCCACAGGAGACCTTGGGCATCATCCAGAGACATTTTTGGTTGTCACAGCTTGGGGGTGGGGTGGGGAGAGGCCACTGAATAATCCTACAGAGTGACCTTTCCCCCAGTAATAGTCTAGTCTGGCCCAAAAGGTCACTAACGCTGCAGGTGAGAAATCCTGCCCACCCCCACCCCCTGCATGCCAGAAAGCAGGACATCCCCGCTAGAGAACCAGGAAGCCTTTCCCAGTGGCTGAGTCCCCAGAGGCTGCCCACTGTACCCGCCAAGAGCAGAGACTCTGGCCCAGCCTCCGGGGTTTCAGGGCCAGCTCCATGACTCACTGGCTGTGCCTCCTCAGGCAAGTTACTTGACCTCTCTGTGCCTCCTATTCCTGCCCTACCAGAAGCTGATCATACCAGTGCCTACCCCAACAGAAAAAGGCTGGGTGGACCGGATGTCCCAAAGCCGGAGCTTGTAGCCAACCAGTTTATCATTGGAAGCAGGGAATGGGTGAGCAGAGGGGGCACAACAAGGGAGATCTCCCCAAAAATCCCAAAAGTGAGCCCACAAGAACAACAACACAGGTGGTTTGGGGACATCACCACTTAGGGAGCTTTAATGCCAGGTAGTCATTAATTTCTGAGCATCATAGTTTCCTGAGGCTGCCATAACAAAGCACTACAAACTGGATGGCTTAAAGCCACAGAAATTTATTCTCTCATAATTATGGAGCCAGAAGCTCAACCTCAAGGGATTGACAGGCCCACGGTCCCCCTGAAAGCCTTAGGAGGAGACTCCCTCCTTGCGGCTTCCAGCTTCTTGTGGTGCCTGCAGTTCCCTGGCTTGGCCGCATCAGTCCAGTGTCTGCGTTCACTTTTGCATGACCTGTCTGTGTCTTCTGTCTCATAAGGATATTTGTCATTGAATTATATCTACAAAGACCCCCACTTTTTTTTTTTTTTTTTTCAGAATAAAGTCAGGCACAGGTTCTTGTGGTTAGATGAGATCCTTTTACCTTCTCCTGCCTTCTATTTGGAAAGACCAGAAAATAGTGATGGAAGCAGGGGGAGGGGTCAGCAAGGAGAGTGAAGATATTGATCCACATGCCTTCCTGTGCTGCAACATAGAGTTACAGGTGGCTCCTGAGCACCTGAGCTGAGGGAAGGTCAGAGCTTGAATTGGTTGAGTAACTGAAGCTTTGATATTAGATTAGAATGAATTTATCAACCTAAAAAATTCAGATTGTTCCTTTTTACTGTCAATACTGTGTCATTATAACTTTGGTGAGAAAAAAAAATCCCTAAAAAAAAAAAAAGATATTATTCCAGGACCTTATTTCGTTATGTACCATTTCACTTAAAGATGCAGTTTTCAGGAACCTACCGACAACATGGAGGACCGAGTGTAGTTGAAAACGAACAAGCTTTGGGATTGGCTCAAGCCTGATGTTCCAGCTCCGGGACAGCCAGGGGGCAGGGAAGAGTGCCCGGAGAGCCTGTTTCAAGGCAACGGAGAGAAAAAAAAATAAAGTTTCTCCTTACACCGAAGGGGAGCCCAACTTGGTGAAGAAATCGCATGTGTAGGTGTCTCATTTGTTTCTCTGATTGAACCATTTTATAGCAAGAGCCTTTTGAAACTAAAGTCTGTTAGGTTATTTGTAGGATGGATCTGCAGTGTTTGAGTTTTGAAAATGGAATTGCTGCTGCTGCCTAATGACAGCTTTAATCTTGGCCTTGCCTGCCTGCCTGCCTTCTAGGTAAGATTGATGACAATCCTAGAATGGCCCTGCTTTCTGAACCATCCAATCCAGGGCAAAGCCCTGCTTCCTTGAAACTTCCTCCAAGTTACCTTGTAAGGGGAGGATCAGCCAAGAAGGCTGCCACATTCTCTAGGGCTGCCATCACGTCGGTTTTATTGGAAATGGGAGGGCAAGAACGTGGACAGGGGAGAGGTGCCGGGTGCGCGTCAGCTGAGTGAATGTCCACTACTGACACTTCCGTAGCAACAGATGCACGCTGGGGGTGCAAAATAAAGGGTACGTTCGGGAGTAGTTCGACAAATCTGGCAGCTCAAAGACACTCATGGGGCTCATTTCTTCCAATTCCTGCCCTGCTGCCGGACGCGTGTCCGCTCCCCTGGCATGCAGTGAAGAGCCCCCCGCTCCCGGCTCCCCGCTCCCCGCTCCCGGCTCCCCGCTCCCCGCCCAGTGATCACTCTGCGCAGGCGCCACTTCTCTAGCACGCAAGCGCCGACTCTCCGGCCTGCGCGCGCGGATTGGCTGCGTCCTCGCGGTCGCCCTTGGAGGCCGGACGTTCTCTCCGGACGCGGGTCCTCGCAGGGCGCCCGGGCCGCTCGGTGCCTGTCGGTGAGCCCCGCTCGGGCTAGACCGGGGGTCCGCTTCGCAGCGCGGCGAGCCCCTGTTTGCAGTGGGAGCCCACCGCGGCGCTCTGGCCGGCCAGGCCCGAACACCCCCTCACTCCTCCCTGTCCTCCGGCCGCCGTCACCGCGGGCGACGCTTCCCTTGGGGCGGCCGCGGCTGGGGTGCTGGGTGCCGGGCCGCCTCCCCACCCCCGGTCCTGCTCGCTTTGCTCGTCGCTCCACCCCACCCACCGAACTCCTGGCGCGGGGCCAGAACTGGCCCTTGGCCTGCTCACGTCCCCTCGCCCACCCTGGAGCACGATCGCCACGCGAACCCGCCCTCGCGCTGCGTGAAAGCGGCGCCCCTGCCAGCCCTTGGTATCTTCCTCCGCACGGAGGAAGGGGCGCCCTGTAAGGCTGCAGAGGGTACCTGGGTTATGCTGGAGGCCTAAAATATCCTCTAGCGCTTACAGAGACATAAACATCCAAACAGATGCAGGTTACTGCCCGTGTGCTGCCAGCTTTTGGCCATTTCTTTCATTTTGGTCTGTTCTCTCCTCGGGTTTTAGGTAGTTTTAATGCAAATGTGTTCATCTTGTCCGCACTGCAGTATTAGTATTTATGATCTTTTTAATGTGCGTTCAGTCAACAAATATTTAGGGCCCACTCTTGCTGGCACTGTATAAACACAGGTTGTGATTGGTATTTAGAAGCTAAGGCTCTAAGTGTATACTTAGGCTTTTCTATATTAGCGTGGTCTTTAAAACTTGCTCCGTATGGGAGCCGCAGCTACACAAGGCCCTTGACAGCTTGACCTACGCTGAGTCCCAGCTGAGCTGTGCAGTGAGTGTACAACAGTTCTGGAGAATTAGCATGAAAAAGAGAATATCCGCAAAATTTTGTTTATGTTGAGGACATATTCAAGTGGCAGTGTTTTGGATACACTGGGTTAAATATTGATAAAATGTACTGTAATTTTACCTCTTGCTTTTTAAGGTGGCTACTAGAACTTTTTTTCTTATTCGGGTGCGGTATTCTCCTGCACTGCCTGGCTCTAGAAAGGGGTCAGCTAACTCTGACCCGCAGCCAAATCCAGCCTGGCTATCTTGGACAGAAACATTTATAGAAACAGTTGTGCTACCTCTGGTGCTGCTACAGGGCCAGCAGAGTTGAGCAGTCCATGCAGAGACTGGCTGGTCAGCATAGGCTAACATATTTACTCTGGCCTTTCATGGAAGAAGCTTGCTGGCCCCTGCTCTAGAACAAAGCTTGGTGTGATAGATCTTTGAATCTACCCTTTTGTGGAAGCCACATCAGTCCTACTGAGTGACATGCACAGTTCCAAGCATTTTATAAGGACTATCTCATTCTCACATTAATCCAAAGATGTCGCATGCCTCTCCTCCCCACCTCCCACCCCCATTTTATAGAGGAGAAAATAATTGAGGCAGAGAATGGTCAAGAAATTTACCCAACTTGGCCCTCACCCCTCACCCTTCACTTCTGGGAACCTGACCCTCCTGATTCCCAAATGGCTTGACACCTAGGGCCCCCTCATGAGCTTACAGTAGATGTCTGCTTTTTTTTTTTTTTTACTGAATTTTTTAATGATTGTGTGAACTAGAGATGAGGTTGGTCTCCCTTGAAAGAAGCTGAGGGGCCATGGCTCAGGTGCAGTGGGTGCGAGCAAGGTGGTCTGCCGTGGAAGGAAATGAAGCTCCCAAGCAGAGAGAAGCGAGCATCCAGGATGCTCTTCACTCATTTAACCAGAAACCGTCTGTTGCATCATAGGCAGTGTTGGTGAGGGATGTCGCAGGAGTAAGACAGATGCCATCTATGGTCTGGTGGGGAAAGCGGCAGTGAGAGAAATTTTTTCAGTGTAGTATCCACCATGCAAAAACTGCGGACATTTGATGTTTTTAACAGGTCCCTCTGCCAGGTGGAGACAGCCATACACCTGTCTTGGGTAATGGCGAGGACTGAGATGCGCTGAGCAGGGATGGTGTGCACAGTTGCTCCGTAAATGTGCGGGCCTTACTAAGAGGTAAGTGCAGGAATGAGTATGGGGAGTTGGGTGCAGCCAGAGGCAGAAAACTGTTCTCAGGGGAGTTGACACAGCAGGTGTCTTTAGTATGCAGAGTCCGTGGGACTGTTTAGGGAAAGCCTGCCTCAGAGGGATTCTGTGTGTCAGCCTAGGAGCAGAACGGGAGCTGTCTCTGTGTCGACAGTGGGACAGGTGGTACTGCTGCGGGCAAGGAGTAGTGCTGTGGGTACTACAGAGCAGTGGTGACACTGGAATCACCTGGAGAGCTGAAATAACACCCAGGCCTAGCCTCAGCGATGCTAATTCGGTCTGCCTGGGGCAAGGCCCTGGTGTTGTTGGTTTTTTTGTTTTGCCGTTTAGTTTCTACCAATGATTATGATTTGGGTTTGCAGGCAGGATTGAGAACTACTCCTGGTGAGAGATAGGCCAGGCTCCTGAGCTCCTGGAGTCAAGGCCCAGAGTTGTGAAATGTGTAGGGCCTGGCGGTTGGTGCATCGAGTCAGGGAGGAGGCTGGGAGGGCCTCGTCCTCATCTGACCAAGGGCACGACCTTTGACTCCAACCTGAGAGCTGAGAAGCTCTGAGGGGCTCTCAGCAGGAAGGTGAGCGCACATTTTGTGGAGAGCAGGAAGTGCTGTGCCTCGGAGTGAGGCAGAGAAGCAGCACACGGCCCTGGCCAGATGGTGGAAAGGCCGCTGTTCCTCCTGTGTGTCCCCCGGCGGGCTGGCGTCTGGCCTTGTAGTTGACCGGATTCATGTCTGTTCCTTCCCCTGGGCTGCCAGCTCTTTCAAGGCAGAGAGTATTTCTTTAGGCCCAGCATCCACCAAGTGCTAGCTACACAGTCAGCATGTCATGGATGAGGGTGCTAGACAGAACACACGGCTTCCCTTGTCTTTCTGTGGCAGTTCTCAACATTTTCTATCCCAGTTGCTTCCACACTAGACCCTTGGAGGGTGATAAATGCTTGGTATTCACATGTCCCACAGGGAGAGTAGAACGTTTGATAGGATTTAAATGGTATTTAAATTATGGAGGCGAGTGGCAAACAGTATGGCGGCGCCTCAAGGAATTAAAATAGAATTACCCTATGTCCAGCAATCCCACCTCTGGATATTTGCTCCCAAATAATTGAAAGCGGGGTCTCCAAGAGGCATTCATGCACCCACGCTAATGGCAGCATTATTCACAGTTGCCAAGGGGTGGGAGGCACCCAGATGTGCGCAGGATGAATGCAGCAACCAGATGTGGCCCGTCCAGTGAGTGGAATATGATTCAGCCTTAAAAGGAGAGAAATTCTGATGCTTGCTGCAACCCCATGGAAGAACTTTGAGGACATTGAGCCAAGTGAAATAAGCCCGTCACAAAAAGACAAATATTACCACTTACACGAGATCCCTAAAGTAGTGAAATTCATCGAAAGCAGAACAGTGGTTGCGGGGGGTGGGGTGGGGCTGAGGTAGAGGAAGGAGCAGGACGTTGCTTCGCGGCACAGGCATGTTTTTCAAGATGAAAAGGGTCTGGAGGCTGCACGTGGTGAGCATACTTAGCACTCCTGAACCATCTGCTGGAAAGTGGTTAAGGTGGTAAGGTTTATGGTGTGTGTTTTACCACACTTAGAAAATTCACCATAGATAAAGATCGAGGACAGCAAATGAGAGGGCGTGTGAGCCCAGAGCTTACACGTGAACCCGCTCACTTCTGGAGATTTACGGGGCATCCTGCTGATAAAGCAGAACTGCTGCTGTCCTGGCTCTGAGGCCCTGAAGCTCCAAGTAAATCCCCCTTCAGAATCCCCTGGAAACCCTGACCCTTGTTGAGAAACTCCCGGCTGAGTTAAATATTGCCTGACCTCTTCGTGGGCACTCGAGACCTGTCTCTCATTAACCAGCAAGCTGCACCCCCGCTCCTTCCCCAGCCGTGCGTGTCGAATGATTATAAAATATTTCTTTTTTGTTGGGAAACTTTCCAACAAGTGCGGAGGGCTCAGGTGTGGTGACGGGGCTGCTTGACTTCTCCAGACCCCGCCATCCCAGGCAGACACATGGGAGGGGAAAGCCGGGCCACCAGAGGCCACGTCCTGTTTCTGTGCAAGCTCACCTGTCCTGTTTTCTGGGCCTTTGACCTTAGGGAGACCGCTTTCAACATTTTCAGTCTTTAAAAGTGGAACTTTAAAAATACAAAACCAATTACTTTATTTTTTTGTTTTTAAAGATTTATTTTTATTTATTCATGTGAGCGCTGGGTACAGTCAGAAGCGCAGGAGGGTGAGAGAATCCACCAGAGCCAGAGCAGGGAACAGAGCAGGCAGAAGGACCGAAGTACACTGCTGAGGGCAGCAGCGGGCGGCAGGAGAGGTCTGCGCGCCCTGTGGGACCCTCCTCCGGTGGCCGGGGAGCAGCCGGGGAATGAACCGGCGCTGCAGAGGCTGCGGGCAGCTTCGCAACCCAGCGCTCAACCGCTGCGCCACCGGGGAGGCCCAACCAATTATTTTTAAGTACTGATTATCGGCAATGAGAAAAATGGCCATTTAAGATCCTGCGTTGATGGCCTGCTGACTCTGAGTGGCCACCCAGGTTGTCCCCCTCAGCTCCCTCTGGGGGTAATAAAGCCAGACTCCCGCGCTTGGTCATCTTTGAGCCGAGCCATCAGGGGACACCAGTTGGACCCTCGTGATTGTGGCCAAGGGTACTTAACGCTTCCTACTTGGGTTAGAATTGGAGAGGAGAGTTGACTGTTTTATTCAATAGATTCAGCGATAGACTTTGAGGAAACTGTGAATGCTACGCTGAATGCAAAGCCCCTTCAGTGCCTTAGGGACAGTATTCTGATTCCAGAGAGAAGGGAGAAGTTGACTGAAGTAGCATGCCATCTCCCAGTAAGCAAGTATCTTAAATGTATAGTTTAATCACAACATTCTACTCTTCTAATAGCTTTTCAGGTGGTGAGAATAATAAATACTCCTCATGGAAATGCAGAAAAGAGTAAAAGAACAAACACAAATCACTTGCTATGTTACCATTCAGCACGTGTCACCCTTTAAAATTCTGTGCATCTATTTTTAGGCTTTTCACATGTGATTTTTAAGTGACATTTGGATCAGACTCTATAGATTGTTTTCAAAGAAAAGCTTTACTTTGGTGCAGTTCACGTAGAGAACAATTCACCTATTCGGAGCATACAAGTCAGTGGTTTGGGGCATATTCATTCATTCGCAAATGTCCAACTCAGCACACAGTCACCTTTGGAAGCTTTCACCTGTCCCTGAGAAAAACTCACAATTAGCAGCCCTGTCTTTCACTCTACCCCCACTTCTTCCTCCCCACCTCCAGGCCTAGTCAACCTCTGATCTGCTTTCTGTCTCCATAGATTTGCATGTTCTAGACATTTCATAGACAGGGAATCTGAGGTGCCCAACTTCTTTCACTTAGCAGAGTGTTTTCAAGGCTCATCCATCTCGTACCATGTATCAGAACTTCATTTCTCTCTATTGTCAGACTGCGTTCTATTGGACAATAGGTACTTTTTTATTCTTGGCCTGGGTTGTTTCCACTTTTTGTGTGTTATGAATAATGCTGCTGTGACCATTAACGTGCAGCTCTGCTGGGCCACTGAAAACACTCTTTAATCTTTCATGTTTGCAGTTTTACCTTCTGATTTGGTCGCCTTGCATTACATTCTGACTGTTTTCCCACTCTGTTAAATAGTCTTTAAGAACACTGTGTCAAATGGGCCAGTGATGACGTCATCCTTGGAATGTAGCTTATTTTTTTTAACCATTTGGGCCCTTCCCATTTCTTCCAGCTTTGATGAAAAGTTTTATAAATACAACCTCTGCCTCTCATTTCCTGAAAGTAAAACTACAGAAGTAGAATCACTGACTACAGGGGCATTCAGTTTTTACGTACTTGTCAGATGGCTTCTAGGAAGACTGCATTCGTCTGTCTTCAGTGGTGTTAGCCTGTGACTGGCCGGTGGTGGCTATATGATATCAAGTCCTGTGAAATGAGAGGCCACAGGATTTTGAAAAGACAGAGCCCTGCCATCAAGATGTCCACGTTCATGTGTAGACCAGGCGGGCAGCTGCAGGTGCTGTGCAGGGTGTGGCACAGGCGAGGCGGTGTGCATCACGCAGATTGAGGATGACCAGTGAGGCAGAGTGAACATTTACCTGCTCAGGGTGAGAGGCACACACACAGTCATTGAGCAACTTTTTACACTTAAAAATTAAAGCGAGAAAGTTAATGGAACTAAACTCAAGTATGAGGACACATCAGTAGTCAGAGTCAGCCGGTGCTTCCAAAGACCCAGATGGCAGCACAGTGGGGCCCGTTGGGCTGCCTCCCGACCTGGCTAACTCACCATTTCTCTAGAGTCCTTGGGACTTTAGCACGCCCTGCGAGCCCTGCTTCTCATTGTTTTGTACTCAGAAATGCACCACTTAAAGATCATAAAACCAGCAGGTAGTTCAGTTAATGAATATGGGGGACCTTGGCTTTTGTGGTGTCTTCACAAGGACAGGAAATTTGCAGCAGGTAACAAAACAAAGGGGCTTAGGCCTTGCTCAGCCTGTCTTCCCCATGGACGCCAGCACTAGCGTGACTTTTCTCCTAATCTGACCACCAAGTTCCATCCAAAGGAATAGACTTACGTTGGTCTGGAAAGATCACTGATCTGTCAAACTAGAGATGGGGAAATCTTCCAACAAGCTGCTTTTAAGCAACTGTCAATGCAGAAGCAGTCCTGCTTTTTTTTTTTTAAACAACTGAGAGCTTTTGAAATGAAACCACACCAGCTTACAGATTCCAATTTCTAACATGTCGCCCCATTTTATTATAGACCTTTCAGAAACCCTGCACAGGTAACTATGGCCTGTGTGCTGCCCATGCTGCCCTCTGGAAGCTGTAACTGGCCAATATGAGCTTAAGAAAACGGAAGCCTCTTTTTTTTCCTTTGAGCTGCGAAGATGTCTGACAAGAACCAGGTCGCCGCCCGAGCTGCCCTGATTGAGCGGCTGCTGTCTCAAAGGAATTTTGAGGATCTTGGCGACCACCTTGCTGAGCTAGAGACTCTTCCTGTGACTAAGGAGCTCCTCCAGGAGACAGATGTGGTAAGGGCGGTGTACAGAGTCCTCAGAGCCTGCCCCACGGTGGCTTTGAAAAAGAAGGCCAAGTGTTTGCTCTCACAGTGGAGAGCTCTTTATAAGGATCCTCACTGCAAAGCCAGGGCTGGCCCTAATTTCTTCACCACTGGTGGAAACAAAGAGGAAAATTCGGGACTTTCTCGTGGCCCAGGTCAGGATGAGGTACCAGCCGGCCCTGGCTCTGCTTCTCCACAATCATCTCCAGAGGCCTTGGCGGAAGCTACTGACAGGACGGCGCCAGGGAACAGCCCCGGGCAGATGGAACCTAAGGAAGGGCATATGGGGGGCGACCCTGAACCTTCCAGGGAGAGGTCAGGCGAGCTGCTGGATCCCAGGGGGCCCTTGAGAAGCAAGTGCACACAGCTGCTGTATGATGCCTTAGCGGGCTCCTCCACGGGTCAGCCCCAGGCTGCTGTGTGGCCAAACTTTGCGCGAGAAATTGAAGAGCACATCTTTGCCCTTCATTCAAAGAACCTCAAAAAATACAAAACTTGTATCAGAAGCAAAGTTGCCAATCTGAGGAACCCCCGGAACCCTCACTTATCGCGAAACCTGCTCTCTGGGGCCATGTCCCCAAGGGAATTTGCCGAAATGACCGTCCTGGAAATGGCCAGTGAGGAACTGAAGCAGCTGCGAGCATCTTATGCGGAATCCTGCATCCAGGAGCGGTCGCTGCCCCGCGCTGTCGAGGGCACGCCGACGAGGAAAATAAAATGCAGGCGGTGCGAGCAGTTCAACTGCCGGTCACCTTGATTGCCAGGGGCACGCTTTTCCTTCCAAGTTGGGTACGGAATTCAAACCCAGATGAAGAAATGATGACCTACGTCATCTGTAACGAGTGCGGGGAGCAGTGGTACCACAGCAAGTGGGTGTGCCTGTGAACCCCACCCGGCGGGGCACCTTTTATTTGTACGGGCCCATTATGCTTGTTCGCACATGGTGTGCACACGTCGGCAGGCTCTCGAAGCTGAAGGAAAGCGGCGCCTGTGGCTGCTCCCGCCGTGTCACGAAACACTGACAGTTTGGGCGAATGGGTGACTATTTGCCTTGTGCCTTATGGCCACTTAGTTCAAGATCGTTTGAGATGTGCTGTCTCAGCAACAGGCCTGGAGTCCTGCATGTTAGAATCACCAGGAAGCTTTGAAAACTCACTGATGCCAGGGCCCATGCTAGAGCCATCCGAGCTAACTGCGGGGTGTGGTCCAGCCATCAACCTTTTTTAATTCCCCAAGTTATTTTTAGATGCAGTTGGGGCTCAGAGCTACTCAGAGATGGGTCACTTAATCCTTTTCACAGCGCTAAGAAAGGGACGTCATCCTATGCGCTTTACAGATGAGGGAGCAGGGCTGCAAGCCACCTGGCCGCAAGCTGCCCAGCTCAGGCTGCTCCTGGCTCTTCTGAATCCACCACCCGCGACTGCCGTGCTGTTGACTTCTGAAAACGGTGTCCATGGAGCCACATGCGCTGCATTGACATTGGACACTAGAGCTTTGTCATCGCCTCGACTCTTCTCCTTTTACGGGACTCCTTGAGCCATGAAGGTCCCCCTATAACTCATTTTGCACAATTAAAAATTTCTTTCTTGTGCTCTTTACATTTTTTTCCTCCCACAAGTTCTCCAGGGTAAATTTTTTTTTTACGATTTATTCTAATTTATGCATACAAGAACTCGGGTGTAGGCCAGCGGTACAGGTTGAGGGTGAGAGGATTCACCAGAGACAGAGTGGGGAGCAGAACAGGTGGTTTGACTGAAATACACTGCTGAGGGGAACAGCGGGGAGACAGGAGAGGTCTGCTGCGCCATGTGGGTTGCTCCCTGGCTGGGGATCAAACTCATGCTACAGTGGCTGCTGATAGCTTGATAGCACTGACTTTAACCCCTGCGCCACCAGGGTAAACTTTAAACAAATATATATACAGTTGGTCACTACTGGGGTTAAGAGGCAAGTTCTGCATAACTTTCACTGACTTCAAGTCATCTGTCCATTAGACCTGGGAGGAGTCAGTTCCAGAACATTTCACAGCATATTCACATTTACTGTGTGGACCCAGTGCCACCTTATCTCCAGTGATAAGGCTGCTACTCCCTTCCTGGTTTCAGAACAGCAAAGTTCAGGCTGGCATGCTGTGACCCTTTTCAGTCTGAAGCTCCACTTCTGCTTATAGAAAAACGAACATTAATCTGGCCAAGGAAGTCCCCTGACCTCAGTCTTTGACTTTCCCAACATTTCTCTAATGAATCAAATGTCTTCGAGGCCTTAGCCAACCATGTGGGACCAGTCTGTGAAATTGGTTAAACACAACCAGCCTGCTACATGATCACTGCTGGTTTTGTCTCTTGAAAAACTTCCATAGAACGTTCATAGTTATCATTTTGTTAGAGTTTCCCTTGGCATCATCTACAGACCTCCACATTTCTACCAGGTCTTTTCTCCTAGCTCGCCTAACTTCCTTTCTCGAAACTCTGAAGGCCTGATGGTCTGTCTAGCCAAGCTGCTCAAGACAGCCCCGACAAAGTTCTGGTTTGTGTTCCCAAGGGGTTTGAGGCCAGCAAGGGTGCATTCTCTGCTGCTGTCTCCTCCCTCTGGCTTCCCAGAGCTGCTTATTGTCAGGTGACACGTCAAGTCTTTTCCAGAGAAACTTGCCAAATCACCTAAAACTCCCAAGTTTTGCAAAGTGGTTTTGTATGACTTGGAATGATCTTAGAAACCAGCCATTGGGTAGAAAAGAGTGGAAACCAAGTGTGGTTGATCAGGTCATGTCGGCTTTTGGTTTGGGGGATTTTGTGTGTGACTTTTGAGGGGGTGGGTTTTGTTTTGTAGTTTTGATTTATACTGAAATTTTGCATACTAAATTTGCAGAAAAATAAAAACATTTGAAATGGAAATTCCTGTCCAAGTTATGAAACTCTGGCTGGTGTTTCTCAGTCCATATCAACTTTCTCAGGGACTTGGGCAGCGAAGGGAAAGAAGAAAACAGTAATCTGGGTGGTTTTCTTTCAGTCACTGAGTCAGCGTTACACTTCCTAAGTAGTCATTCTCTTGTATCCTTTGTCTTACTGCCAAAAAGGCAGTGGATTTTAAAGCAATTTCTTTAAAATTGCTCATGAAGTAAAGGCTTTTCATTTCATTTAAAATCAGTTTTAAAGTTAAGTGCAAAGGCTCCAGGCCAGGCCCGGAGCTGCTGCCCAGTGGCTGAGGGAGAAGGATGAGGGGAAGTCAGAGAGCCCTCGGGCTTGGGACGGAGGGGAGGGAGGGCGGGCAGGGAGGAGAGGAAGGGCCCTTGTTCACGCAAACCGCCAAACTGGGTCTTTCACTTGCACCCAGACAGCCAAACTGAACCACAAGACCTGTCTTTACAAGTGAGGGTTATTGGAAATGGCCATCAAGGAGTTGGTGGGATGGACACCCCAAAACAACCGGCTCCCCGAGTGGCAGGAGTGCTGGCATGATACAGTGGGGAAGGAATGTGAGGGAGGTCATGGCTTCGCATATCCAGGTGGAGGTGGTTCCCCGGGCCGTCTAGGCCACGTCTAGGCCACGGGAGTCCGGGTGCTGGGCTTTCCCGGCAGGGTGCTTGCTCAGCCACCAGCAGGTGTTTGTTCTGATGCCACTATCAGCCCCAGAGGGCCACAGAGAATTGTTACCAGGCATGTAACCAATTTTCCAAGTTCTCGGGTGGAGCCAGTTAACGGTGAAATACTAGGACGGGAAGGGGGCAGAAAGAACAATGGGTGGTTAGAGTTTAATTCCACTTACTCCTAATGTTGGAGGTGGGTGTTGTTACTGTTGCAAAATGGAGGAGATCCAGCTACAATGAGGAGGGATTTGGGGGCTTTCTCCAAGCAGGACAAGGAGCCGTGGTAAGATTTGAATGACCTTTGGGGAGGACTCCTCTGGCACCGTGTGAAGTTAGCCGGGGTCAGCGAGGATGGGCGCGGCGACACCAGTTAGGTGGCCAGCACAGTGGCCCAATGCCATATAACTGGCTCCAAGTGAGCACACTAACACTGGTGCCCCTAGAGTTGACAGAGTCCTTGGTGATGGGCTTCAGGCCATACTACCCCAAAAGATGGCGCCCCGGCACACGAATATTTTCGGCTGAAGGAATTTGAGGAAGGGCAGAGGTGGGAAGGACACTCTGACCTCCCCCTTCCTCCCTGAAGCAGGTCACGAGACCCACATGGGACAGGTGCCCTCCCTGTACCCGAGGAGGGAGCAGCCTGATCTCCGAAGGCCAGGGACACGGGATCTGAGTGGAGGCCTCGCCGAGGGGCCCCTGTTTACCCTCCTTGCCTCACACCCTTTTTTTTTTTTAAAGATTGATTTATTTATGCATACAAGAACTGGGGCACAGACCACAGGCGTGGGGGGTGAGAGGACCCACCAGAGACAGAGTGGGGAACAGAATAGGTGGACCGACTGAAGCACACTGCTGAGGGGAGCAGCAGGCGAGTCAGGAGAGGTCTCCTGTGCCATGTGGGTTGCTCCCTGGCCGGGGATCGAACTCATGCTAAAGTGGCTGTGCATAGCTTCATAGGTTGCGTCCCAACCCCCTGCACCACCAGGGAGGCCCCTCATACCCTTTTCTCCTGTCACGTTTTCATGACTTTCCAGTCTCCAGAAAACCTGGAATAAAAACACTCCGGTTTAACCTTTCTCCGGGTCTCCATTTCCTTCTGAAAGTCCCCATGTCACATCCAGCTTCTCTTAAATTAGTATGCACACTTGCCCCTTATCTGTCCTGTTCCAGAGCCCCAGTAGAGAACTCAAAATGGTAGGAGAAAAATGATTTTTTTCCCTCCCCTGTGCTGGCAATTTGCAAATAGGTGATTTATGATTTATGACCAACCATCATTAAAAAATAACAGACTGCACTGAAATGCCGGGTTGGGGCCCCCGTGGGTGGGAGGGGGCCCTGTGCCTCCCCGTACACCTGAGTGCCCAGGGCCCTCTCCTTGCCTGTTCCCACATTGACCTCCTTTTGTTGGGTTACTTTTTTTTTTTTTTAAAGATAAAAACGTGGATACAATTGCTGCTCTGTCTCTTCCCTGAGCACTTCCTGTGGCGAGAGGCGCCTCTCATCCCCGCTGACAGCCAGGATGCCCGCAGCTGGCACCGCTCCACCAACTCGGTGGGGGCTGGGCCTTCATTTTTTAGGTCAGATTGCTGTTATTTATAACTTCCCAGTAAATGCAAAGATGGTACTAAAATATTTTTAGGACTCTCAGAGGTATTTACTGTAAGTACTCAGGGTATAGAAGGCGCCTTCTTGCTTGGGGAAGAGCCCATAATCCAGAGCGAGAGCCGATGACAGCATCATCCCCATTTGCGTGATTAAGTGAGGTTTCCGGAGATGTTACTGTGCTTTATCAGAAACGCTATACAGTAAAAGTTGCATATTTCCTGATGTTTTACGGGATGCTGGGGACAAAGAGATGATCTCAAGACCCCATCTCAGACCTCAAGACCCACGTTATTTTTTTAAAGATTTATTTATTTATGCACACAAGAACTGGGGTACAGGCCAGAGGTGTGGGGGTGGGGGGCAAGAGGATTCACCAGAGACAGAGTGGGGAGCAGAACAGGCAGACTGACTGAAATACACTGCTGAGGGGAGCAGCAGGTGAGACAGGAGAGGTCTGCTGCGCCATGTGGGTTGCTCCCTGGCCGGGGATCGAACTCGTGCTGCGGGGGCTGCAGATAGCTTCATAGGTTGTATCTTAACCCCTTGAGCCACCAGGGAGGCCCTCAAGACCCACATTAGCAGGGGAAGCACTGGGCGATGCAGCCAGCATTCCTTTTGCATGTTAAGAGAGGTCTGAGAGAGACACTGGCTGAAGAGGCAGGGGCACAGTGCCCCTGGAAATCAGGGAGGGCTTCACAGAGGCTGTGACCCTAAGAATGAGTCCTGAGATGACGTTCGCAGAGCTCAGGGAGAGGGGAAGGCTGTTCCATCACCATATCATATACCTTACATGCAGCAACTCATTTATGAGCACCCCGCCAGCATTTTAAGTGAGGACACTGAGGCAGAGAGAGTAAGTTGCTTGCTCAAGGGTACACGGAGAGGGAACCAGGGCTATCTCATGCTAGGCTTTATGTGGTGATGGTTGTTTTTGCATATCACTTTGCTTCCAGAAAAGTCCAGGCTTCCATTAATTCCACCCAGGGTGCAACTGTTTCTAATTGTGGTTTGTTTTCTCAGTGGTAGGAATGCGTGCTTATAGGCTGCACCTGGGCCCTGTGCTGCGTGTGCCTCCTGCTAGATCACCCAGCTTTCCTGAAATGGGAACCTGCCCGAATCTTCTCATGGTACCCATGTGGTTTATCTGGTTTTCTGAAAAGCCAGCACTTTTTAAAATACTTAAAATTATAAAAATATGTAGTTTTAAATGGGATCTTTATGTTTTTATTAATTCGAAGACTCAAAATGTAAGTGCAGTTTCAAATACCACTTCCCCTTAAAATATGGTGGCCTTTATATCTTCATTCTGTGTGAAACTATATAGTTATATATACACACCAATATACATGAGACAGTGTAACACAGATAAGACTTGTGACAGGAAAGCCAAGCTGTTTTGCAGCCTTTATGAAATCATTGCAAGCACCCTGCCAGTTAAAAAATAGAATTAAAATACATTTGTTGGCTATATTCTTGCTTTCTCTTAAAATATAAACTACATAAAAACAGGAATAGCTTCCAAGTAGCTGTTAATCCTTCTTCAGTGATGACACCGATTTTTTAAAAAATCTAAAGCAGCCACAGCAAAGTGACACATTAATTATGCAGCACATTCAAATGTTGCCTGTTCAAAAACTTCTTTTTATTTTTGAAATATATTCACTTTTTGATTCACTTTTGAAAATGTGTATAAACAGAGACAGAGAGCGCCCCCAGCCTCTGCTTTTGAATCATCAAGATGGCATCAGCACCTGCTCAGCTCACCTTCGTGGGCAGGGTGACAGTGGCCGTCCTGGCCGAACCCACCAACGTGCCTGTCTGTGTACAGCTGACGTATGCGGGTTTCTTTCCCCAGCCGCTGTGCAGCCCAAGATCTAGTCAGAGTCCCCTGAACCCACGGAGGGGTGGGGTTGGGGCCACTGAAACAAACGTAGCCCCCACCTGCATCTGACCAGAAAGAACGCCCGGCAGAAGTGGACTGTGAGCTGGCATCTGTGTCCCACGGGCATCTGGTCTTCAGCGTCTTTGCAGACGGAGGACTCCGTCTCTGCAGTCTCGTTGGCATGGGACAGACAGACTTTTTACCACCACCCCCCCCCCCCCCCGCTTTCTGAAATCTCAAATTGCTGAGCAGAGAGTTTCCAGACATTCTGGCAGAGACTTCGATATCATTTAAAAATGAAACGGTGACCAAAGGGCATGAGGCTTTTTTGGGGGATGATGAAAATGTTCAAGCATTGAGCGTGCGCCGACGTGAAGGTGGGGGGCTGGAGTAAGGGCAGAGTATAGTGGATGGTGCTGGGAGTTTGGGTTCTTTTCCTCCTTTACTTTTTAAAAAATAAAAATGAAACAACGAAAAGAACTGACGGCGCTGCTGTCACTCAGCTCGGTGACTGTGCTGGACACCGTTGAATCACACACTCCGAGGGCCCGCGTTGTGTGGCCTGTGACTATATCTCAAGCTATGTTTAAAGAATCAGACGAAGAGAGGGAGGAAATTAGAGACAGGACTTGGATTGTGCATCTGTGTCAGTGAGTCATTCTGAACCTGTGTGTCCCAGCCCACGCTGGCCTAGAATGGAGAAGTAACGGCGGTCTTCCTCTCAGGCCTTCCACAAGTGCCTGCCCATTCCCACTGACAGACCCAGAGCCTGGCAGCCAGCGGCCTTCATCAGGGCACTTGCTGGGCCCTGGCCTGTG